TTAATGTCAGCAGTGGATTTTAGATTAATTCAGGGCTTACAATTCGTTTTTTTATTTTTATTTACACAACAGCCTTTTTTTAGAATTTTCCCTTGTGTCGTGGGAACCTTCAACTACGGCGATAGTCGAAGAAAATACTTCACTGCTGTCTCTTGTCTCTCTGCATCCACCGTAGATGATGACTCCAAATGAAATGTATTTAAACGTCCGATTAAGTATATAGGTACGTACGTCCTAGTAATATTAAATGCTACCTAAATAATAACATGTCCGCACGACACAACGGATCGTCACGTGATGAAAATAATTCGAAACTGTCAACATATCATTATGGTGTTCATATTTAACATTCTCGAACTTGGTTGATTATCATAATAAACGTTATTCTACCTGTGCCGCACACGTAAGCGATAAGCGTAACGACAATTCCGATTTAGTACTCGATTGGTGCTAGAGTACAAAGATTATCGCCGGGAACTCTGACACGAATTATAAAATATCCTAAATTTTGCTAGAAATTTCAACGTAATGTGTGGTAGGGCGTAATGTCAGCCCTGAAGGATTTCCGCAAGTCCTATTGTCCAGTAGTGGACAGCTGTTCGTTGATGATAATTTTGGTTTCCACCAATTTCTTGAGTGAAGATGTTTCAAGGTGGATGATGCCATTCACATTGTAACGTTTATAGGCTGAAATAACCACTTAGCATCAGTTGGCCCGTAACCTAGTTCACTCGTCTGGTGCGTTAAAAAAAAGTAAGCTTTACCCAAGGCAACTTTCTTTACAATTCGATTAGAACAAATTTTTTAACTATGTAGATACTGTAATGTAAGTTTAAATGGTTCACGTAAAAAAGTCGTTCAGCAGAAATTCATAATTGAAAAATGTCTAAAATGCAAAATAATCAAAGAGAAAACTCGTCAACACATAATAATATATTAAGCAAGAATATTACTTGTTAATGAACGACGCCAATTAAGCTGTAAAATTTAATAATATTCGTACCGCTAATTTGTGAGTGAAACAAGATGCTCTCGCCTTTCGTGTAGGTACTTGTCGGTTCTTGAAATATTTTAATTTAAAATGTAATCATCGTTTATGTTTATTTGCTGAATTTCAAGGTCGCTATAGGGAAAGTAAAATTAAGAACTTTCTTCGAAGCAACGAGTTAAAAACTCAAAGGTTAAAAACATTAATCAGTGGAAAAATATTTATCTGCGCATCATACGTTTGTGTCTTGCGGTTATTCAGTGCATTCGTATATTAATAAATACTAAAATATTTATTTGCAATAAGCTGTACTGCAGTCTATAATAGTCTATACTATACCTATTATTCATGGTTTTTTTATTGCCCGTTTAGGCAGACGAGCATACGGCCCACCTGATGGTAAGTGGTTACCGTTGCCCATGGACTTCAGTAATCCCAGGGGCAGAGCCAAGTCGCTGCCTACCGTTAAGTACTCCCAAAAAGCCTAGTTTGAGGGAGAATATGTCGTAGCGCTCGGGAAACACCGTGGAGCGAAGCTCATTCTAAAACCGTGTGATATTCTATGATATATAAACGATATGTGAATATGTGATATTTTTTAAAGAGAGTGCGAGCATAGAGTTCCTAAAGGTTATAAGGCAATTTACTAAGTACTACTGCAACGCAATGGAAAGTGATTTATATTTTCTAAGTCAAATATAAATTAACTACTTGTCATATTAGTTAGTTCATATTCCGAGAAGCCACTACACGTCTTGGCATTTAGTTCCTGTCTTCCTTCGAGATCCTAGACCGAGATAGTAAAAAAAAAACTATAGAATAAGCTGAAATAGCAATAAATGCTGGTATTTTAGTTGAATTAGAAGACCAAGCTAGTCCAGTACGGTTAAACAAAAATAAAATATGATATCGACCAAACTGAAATATTAGTAAAGAATATGATTAGAAATCCCGGCGCCGGGACCCGGGATCGTATAGACGGTTGGACTGCCACCCTAGTTGCCATCGCTCCGTCGTACGTGATCGTGTCGTTATCGTACACCCATTGAAGTTCTTTAGTGGGAAACATTGTTACTACATGTCGAGATGTTCTTCAAACTTTTGCAAACATTTGCCACGAACTAGGTTTTCTCTTTTTCTTGATTCAAAATCTCATCGTCTTATCTGCAGTCATTCCGTGACTATGTACCTAAACTTCGAGATCTTCATTATTAAAATAAATGTAAATGGGCTCAAGGTTCCCCCCGGAGTAAGCGGTAACAGGAGTCCAAAGACAGCAGCACAAATACTTCCTCGTACCTTGAGAGCGAACTTTCAATTTTACATATTTTTTTTATAAGTGATGGACTACTGGTGGCCCGGAAGCCTTTCCAGTTTTACCAGGACAGGTGGGCGAGCAAATGTTCAGCCAGGAGGGGTGGGATTTGCTAACAGCTGCCCGAGCACCTCCGAAGGAGACCTAACAACTCAAGAGCAGCTGCTTCGCGAATGAATATACTACCGGATCGGAATCTTGACCCGCTGAGAAGATCCAGCGAGAAACTCAGCGGAATGATGCATGAGTTAGGTTGCACGTCGAACTCTTTGCCGAGTTCGACGAGTACAGTTGCTGAGGTACCTTAGCCTGCTCCTTGTGTTAGAACTGAAGGCATCAATTGGACATACTGTTTATCGGTTATCTCAACATTGAAATCGGATCACATGACTTCACGGTTGACATTTATATTAGATCAAATGCCTTACCTACCTTTGCGGGTTTATAATGCCCTATATCAGCCCCCAGAGTTTCTCAGCGGGTCTTCTCAGTGGGTCGCGATTCCGATCAGGTAGTAGATTCATTTGTAAGGCAGGTGCTTTCAAGTCCTCTCCAAGTTCCAAATGCTTCTCCTTTGGAGGCGCTCGAGCAGCTGTTAGCGAATTTGCTCACCCATCTGTTCTGGTGGAACTGGAAAGGCCTCCGGGCCACCAGAAACCCTTTCTACCTAATTTTTTTTATTATAATCCGCCCTAAAATCAATAAAAATAGATACACAATGTTTTTCTTAAAATGTAGATGTCGCTTGTGAGCATATGTTCCTTAAATATTTAAGTGGGTACCTACTTACAATAATTAATGTTTGCCAAATGATTTGAAGTCCACCATGCTCGATATAAGTCTTACGACCCGTTAGGTTTTATATGCTTCACATATATTATTATTTTTGAATTTTTTGAAATGAAATGTGAGTTGATTAATTTGAAACATTAATAAATTGACATGAAATTAAATGAAATGCAATAAGATGAGATAATATGGTCATCCCATATCATCTCATTAAAATGGTGGTTATTTACTGAGACTTTTTCAGTTGACTTTTTGGAAGATCCCGAGAAGCTATGTCCAGCGGCTTTGTTTCATTTCCCCATATTTGTGCACTTTCACAGATACTAAACAGATAATAAACCACCATTATCACATATTTAAACCTGAAGGAACACTAAATAGACAAAATAAAACAATTTACTCAACTTTGCTCCTCGGGTTCCCGCCAAAACTAACTGGTAACTAAGACCTTTAGGTCAAGTCTCATTATAATTTATATTCTTATTTGAAAAAATATAATATAGAATGAATTAAAATGAAGATGATTAATCTGAAACATTAATCAACTGAGGTGAAATGAAATGAAATGAGATGAGATGATATGGGATGAAATATAATCTCAGTAAAATGGTGGTTATTTACTGAAATTTTTTTTAGTGGACTTTTTGGAGGATCCCGCGAAGTTACGTCCAGCGGCTTTGTTTAATTTTCCCACATTTGTGCACTTTCACAGATATTAAACAGTTAATAAACCACCGTTATTACCAGTTTAAACCTGAAGAAACACTAATTAGACAAAATAAAACAAATCACACAACTTCACTCCTCGCGTTCCCGCCAAAAAGTCCGCGTAAATATATAGGGTAGGTATAGCTATAGATACTAGTTGTGAAAAGTCCTCCATAGAATTAATTAGTCGACTATTATCAAAGCCGGCAATCTGACTTTTGGACAATGATTGGTAAATCAGAAAAACGAATTATTGACTTTGTATTCCATTGGCAGTCACAAAACTCTTCGGAACGACATCTTAGATAAATAACAGGTTAACTATTAACCTTTATTTAATGCAGGTTTTGAACCGTATTCTTTGAAGGAGACGATTATATTCAAATCAATCTGTATTGACATATCAATAAAATTTTTTTGTCCAAATGCACAGATTGCCACCTTTGATAATAGACGACTCATATATGAGTCGACTATTATCAAAGGCGGCAATCTGACTTTTGGACAATGATTGGTAAATCAGAAAAACGAATTATTGACTTTGTATTCCATTGGCAGTCACAAAACTCTTCGGAACGACATCTTAGATAAATAACAGGTTAACTATTAACCTTTATTTAATGCAGGTTTTGAACCGTATTCTTTGAAGGAGACGATTATATTCAAATCAATCTGTATTGACATAACAATAAAATTTTTTTGTCCAAATGCACAGATTGCCACCTTTGATAATAGACGACTCAAATATCGCAATCTGTTTTAAAGAACGTAGCAGGAGTGACTATCAATTTTTAAAAAAAACATCTTGTTACCGAAACTGTCAAGCTGTAGATTCTCGAGATTCTCCAAAAGTCCACTGAAAAAGTCTCAGTAAATGACCACCATTTTACTGAGATTATATGTCATCCCAAACCATCTCATCTCATTTCATTTAATTTCATCCCAGTTGATTAATGTCTCAAATTAGCCATCTTCATTTCATTTCATTTCACTTCATATTATCAGTTTTCGTAAAAATAAGAATATAAATTAAAATAAGATATGACTTAAAGTCTTAGTTACCACGTCGAAAATCCCTTTAAAAAAGTTACGCACAGATTATATCCAATCTTCGGGGCCAGAGAGAGCTATACATAGATTATACACTTAATTTATACGAGAGAGCTATACCTATAGGTACCTACCTACTAAACTTTGATTTTTGCGGTGAGTGTGATTAAATACTAAATGTACTGATTTACTCAAATATATATAAGAAATTGTTGTCTCTCGGCTATAATTTTTTTTCTTACAAGTAAATAAATACTATATACACGCTATTAGTAACATTTAATAAGAGAACTAAATTGTAATAAGCTACAACACAATTTGTTTGACCGGTAGATTAACGAAACCTACAAAGAAAAATGAGTTGCCCGTACAACGCTGAGCAATTAGACCAGTTGAAATCCTTTGTGGAAATATGTAAAACACAGCCGCAACTATTACACCATCCACAATTGGCGTTTTTTAAGGATTATCTGATATCTCTTGGTGTATCATTGCCGACCGCTACTTTTGGTGCCAAAGATTTTACGGCTGCTGGTGATAAGTAAGTTCAAACTATAATAAATATGCAATAAAATGAACAATTTTCAACAAATTCAAAAGAAAAATTAGCAAATTTAGCATGGTCACGTAGTATGTTAATCATCGAAATATTTTCTAGAATGTCACTGTAAGCTGTAAACGCTAATCACTTTATTACGTATTTAAAGTCAATATTTTTACTTAGCTTTGATTAGAGATTTTCTCATCTTTACATAACAACTATCCCATAAATAACCCTATTTACTTATTTCAGAAAATCTAGCAATGAAGAAAAAGTGGAATCGTCATCTGACGAGGAACAGGAGCCTGAATCAGATGTAGAATTAGATATGGAAGGTAAGAAGAATTTTTTTGTATGAATGATGGTCAACTTTGGCCAATCATCCTGCTTCCAGTGCCTCCTTTTCTTTACAGAATTCTAACTGGAAAAAAATGATTTGTTAATTATGTTTACCAGTAACCTTCTATTATTCTTTCCATAGAGTTTCACAGATTTCAAGTAATGAAAACTTTTAATGATTTCCCTGAAATTGATTGCTTACCAACTTTGTGCATATTCAAGCTACTTAAGGCAAGCTTCCTGAGTGTTGCCGCGCCGCATGCTACTACCACTAGTGCGCTAACACCAGAAGGATGGGATGACGCCTTGGTTGCTGTGGTCTGCGTTTCCATAATCACTGTGGTCGCCAACATACTGTGGAAGAACCTGATCGGCGATGTATCGCGTTCCGACCCACAAGCTGGTTCTGACCCAGCAAGGTATCCTGGAACGTTGGTCGTCGACGACCCATCAGTCGGGTGTCCTCAGGGTAGAGCCACGAGTCTGGTTGTAGTGTTGATCCCAGGAATCCCCCTACTCTAACTGATTTCTGACCCCAGGCGGAGATTGGGCGTCGGGTGAAAGAGTGTAGGGGAGACATTTAGTGGGTAGAGTCCTAAATTCCATCTCTTGGGCCCGCCGTCCGCTCCTAACATTTGCAGACTGTCCAGTGTGCATCTCTATGAATACCATATGAATTCAACTGAGGATACTGAACCTGATGGTAAACAATCACTGTTGCTCATTAATGCCAGGTGCTATGATTAGAAAATGGGGATTTGAAAACGGAATTATCTCAACTAATTCTTGAGAGCACTCCATATGGAAACAAAAGCTGCAAAAACAGAAGTCCCTCTGTAGAAGGAGAGATTTGAAGTGATTTGTGTTGTGAGATCAAAATTATCATTGATCCAAATACCTTTTTTTTCCATATGGGTTTTAATAAAGGTAGTTTGTCATGGGGAAAACTGGCATAGAAATCTCTGGATATGGAAGCAATACATTAGGACCAATCTGTGTTGTGTAATGCATAAGTCTGTCCAAACATTAAGTACTGCTTCATTCTATTAAGGACTCCCATTATGTACCTACAAGGAATGTTGAAGAATGCTGGAAACATAATTGTCAAAATTCTTACATTTTGTTATACTAAATGTATGCAGCACAGTACTCTCCTGAGATTAAACAGCCCTCTAACCCCACAAACACTTCATGAATGCCACTGTCCAGCCTGAGACTAAATATTATTATAAAATCAATATCATAAATTATTATTTAAATATGTGTTTACCATTAAAGATTATATACAAATATTTATTTCATATTCCACGAAATGAGAACTACTAATTCCAGAAGTGTTACTGATTAAGGACAAAGAAAAATTGTAACAAGAAAATGGATTACCTAAGGCTTTGATTCTAAGTAATAATTCATAAGTATATTTTCACATTTTGGTCTTTGATTCCCAAATAACCAATAAAAGTCCTCATTAAACAGGAATAATACAATATTGGCATACACCAACAATAGTACAGTCATTTATAAGAGACTTTGTCTTCAGGTGTCATAGCTCCTGATCAAACAGACGAATCTCAAGACATGGGTGATCCAAACAAGGAGGTCACTGAAGAAGAAAGAGATGAGTCAGATGAAAAGCGCTCTGAAGCAATGAGAGCATTCTCGGAACAAAAATACGACGAAGCTATTAATCTATATACTGCAGCCATACAATTAAATCCACAGAGTGCATTGTTGTTTGCTAAACGGGGACAGGTCAGTTGAATAAAACATTGCTTTTAATTGTTACAAAATAAATTTAAGTACACAAACAAAAATAGTGCATTACCGCCAACAATACAATGATCATTGGTAAAAGGTCAGCATGGTACTTTTCATTTGCTGTTTCCACATAAAATGTTCAAACATCCACACTGATATTTCTTCATAGTGTAAAAAAAAATCAAACCCTCAAAAATTATAATTTGTGGAAAGGTAGGACTTCTTGTAACTCACACAGGTGGACAAATAGATCACAGGTTCTTGGCTTGGAAGAATTAGCAATCTTATTCGGCTTGAATGGCCATTGTATTTAAATTAAAATACAAAAGCTAACAACTTTGGTACCTAATAAATTAATTTAACATTTAAAAATCCAAAAGGCAGTTAGTACTTTAATAATAAATCAGGTCAAGACCTTTAATTATGACGAGTGTTATTATAGTACGAATAAAAGCTGTAGTACAAGAGCATAAAATTTCTAAAAAGATACAAAAAATCTGTGTTATTATTTTTTAATATATTGAGATTTTGGCTTCATGTCTAAAGGTGGATGGCGGCATATACGGGCTCCAGTAATCACTTAATAACCGGTTGGCCGTAAGCTCGTCCACCAATAAATAAAAACTTATAGATCCCTTTCTGATAAACAACAAGTGCCTGCCTAAAAAAAAACCATTGTTCTTGTTCTCGTATGTCGTATCACTCTTGTCAGAGCGGTCGTGGTCGTCATCCAGCATCATTGTTGTGGGCAGATGTTATGCGCCTCACGAGCAATCGCCACTCCTCCCGGTTTGTGGTGAGCCTGGTGCACTCATGCAAACAGCCGCCAACTGCTGACTTGATCTGGTCGGTCCATCGCATGGGCACCCTTCCACACGGTCTGGTGCCTTCTACTTTGCCCTGAACGACAAGGCGCTCTATGGAGTCATTTCTTGTTCTAGGTGTATCTAAAACTAAACAAACCAAATGCATGTATTAAAGACTGCACACATGCCTTAGAGTTGAACTGTGACAGCGCAGCTGCCTACAAATTCCGAGGGCGAGCATATAGGTAATTGAGACTGAATTTAGTAATACACAAAAATATTATTAAGAATATTTGAACATATAAATTCCTTTTACAAATTTCATCTGACTGTAAATAAAAATAAAAGATGAGGATTTCTTGAATCTCTGATAGAATTATTGAATTGACTATTGCAGAACTTCCTCTACTTTTCAACTATAATAAAAAAAAAATTAACTTTGTGTAATATTTGGTAAATTGCTGAATATAAATGATATTCAAATATTTTGTTGTGAAGCTCTTGGGCACTGTCTTTATTAAATATGTTTCTTTCTATAGGCTCTTGGGTAAATTTGAAGAATCTTCCCACGATCTTTGTGAATCCTTAAAGATTGACTATGATGATCAAACAAATGAGTGGCTTAATGAAGTTAAACCAAATGCTGAAAAATTACGTCAACACAAATTAAGTGCCCAACGTAAAAAAGAGGAGAAAGAGGTAATTTAGACAATTTTGACCATATAAAAATAATGTATTTTTGTCTCATGTTACATTAAATGATTTAAATTGAGGAAGCATAAAAAATTGGTACTCATACTTACTATATCACTTTATTACAAAATTACAGCATAGAGAGAAATTACGCAGAGCCCGTAAAGCACAGGAAGCAAGAGCACGTGCTGCTCAGGCCCAAGCCAATGCTGCAGCTGGTGCAACACCCGGGGATTTCCCCGGCTTCCCTGGAGGCATGCCTAATGTCCCTGGTGGTATGCCTGCTGGTGTAAATCTGGATGACTTCAATGACATGTTCCTTGATCCAGAAATTATGGCAGCATTCCAGGTAATTCTTTGATAATTCATATGGTAATTTTAAAGAATATTTAAAGAGATAACTTCGTTTTTCAATAAACTTATAACATTATTTTTTCAGGATCCTGAAATATCTGCAGCATTCAAAGATGTTACAAGTAATCCAGCAAATTTCATTAAATATCAGAACAATCCTAAAATTGCTGCTGTTATAGCTAAATTACAAGCGAAACTTGGTAGACGTTCTGGTGGACCTGCAGGCGGCTTTCCAGGTAATCATAAAATTTCAAGTGAAGATAAAATGAATTGACCCATGCTTATGAATCCTCAAGGTTAGCAGAGGCATTCACATTATTTTATTGTCTTGATAGGAGTTCTAGCAACTGATTATCAGCTCTTGATGGGATAGCTCGCTTATAAACCAACAGAACAGATTGATTATTGAGTTATTTTCATGTTTTTGACATTCTGGTTAGGGTAAAAAAAAACAATATAATATTTTATTTTCAAACATGTGATACGCTTAAGACTACTTTTACGGTTTAATCTCGCTTTTCTTATATTCATTACATTATTTCTGATATTAGTTTTGTTAAAACAGAGGACTGTTCATCGTGGCGTACTGTAAAACCGGTTTTAATTGTGTCTGCGACTTTCAAAAGCCGAAAAAAATACAACATATAAACAATTTCCTAATGGGTTCTGCACTGAATGCAGTTTATGTCGCGAAAGACCTAAATACATTGGTTATACTAATATGTCTAATATGAGGTGTATAACATTTGTGACATACAGTTCGATGAAGGAACTAGGAATGTTAGTAAGTGTTATGGCGGAATGTAGCTGTAAGGCACGAAAGTAAATTTACTTTAATAAACTTACTACTACAATAAGTTCCCCAGTCATAGAGAAATAACTGGAAATCAATGCATATAAAAGATGAAGATATGAAATTCAACACCATATTCAACCATATAAGTTTTATTATGGCGCCTCGTTATTTTAATCTATATGTCACTCTCAGTCTCGGCACCTTACTCTGTGTTATACATGGACTTTTAATATATTGCCACTATTTTTTCCCTTTTTACAAAGCCCAACCAAACTGAACTACATTGTGAACATGAGAGTATGCTATATGACTTCAGTATTTTCCACAGAGAAACCAATGAATAGGGTAAAAACACCGAGAAAATGTGCACGTTTATAATGTAATTTGAAATAATTTTTGTTTGTTTTTTTAGGTTTTGGTGGACCCAAACCTGGCGCTGGACCACGGTCGTCCGCCGATGATGACGTCGGACTTGATTAATATTTCATAGTCTTTAACTAACTAACATTCTAAATTTTGCTTATAAAATATATTCGATCGTATATTTGTACTGTACCAATTTAAAGAACGGGAAAAGTTTAACGCTATTAAATTTTTCTTCATTTGTCACCTAAAATTCTTCGTCATTCTCGAGCCAACATTACTTAAACAGTCAAATAACGGGACCGTCAAAAGGTCGCTGGATTTAAAAAACTTATGTATTGTTGCGAATTATATATAGAAACTTGAATGTAAGATTCTATTTCATTTCATAATATAACTTTCTAACAGTTTTTTTTTTTAAATTATTGCATATGTTTTCATTAAGCGGGCTACATACATGCATTTGAAACAGCACTACATTGTAGCGTTACTGATAGTTTTCACTTATTAACTGATGATTATTATTACTTACTCCCTTTTTGTCCACATAATTATGGTAAGTGAAAGCTAATATTATGTTGCCGATTCTTTATTAATAGTCGGTTACTAAAAATAACACCGCCTCATTAAGGACTAGGTATGTAGCCCTTCTACTTGTGTATGCATTTCGTTGGTAACACCTAGAATTGTATTTGCTAACATTTTGTCAATATAAAGATGTTAGTTAAAATAAATATTTTATTATTTATTGCCCCGAGTTGGATGGAGAATCTCACGACTCATGGTGCTTAGTATGTACTGAAGCTCAGACGTCACAACGTGAATACTACAATACATTTATATATGGAGTCGAATTTTCTAAGTGGTTTATCGGCGGTATCAGTGTTCGAATCTGAAATAATTACTACTTTGCAACGAAAATAATCAAGATGGTGGTAGGTGATACCTATTTCTACCGTACCTTACTATACACCTTGAATCTAATCCAGAGAAGCTAGATTACCATACTGCGAACCATTTATGATCAGTCGCGAAGCAGCTGCTCTTGAGATGTTACATCCTTTGGAGACGCTCGGACTGCTGTTAGCAAATCCCACTCCTCCTGGCTATTTGCGACATCCTCCGTACTCCGCGGACCTTGCTCCAACAGATCACCATTTTTTCCGGAATTTGGACAATTTCTTACAAGGAAAAAAATTCAACTCCAATGCGGCAGTCCAAACCGCCTTTAAAGAGTTTATTAATTCTCATCCCCATGGTTTTTTTAGTAAATGGATCAATGCACATATGAGATGGCAAAAGTGCATAGATAACAATGGTGCACTTTGGTTAATGAAATAGATAAATAAAAAATTAAAATTGACTATATTCCTCCCGTACAAAACGCCAATTTCATATGTAAGGACCTAATATAATTTTGCGCGTTTGATTTTTATTACACGTTTTTTTATTTTTTTTATTGCCTATATGTGTGGACGAGCTCACTCACAGCCCGCCTGGTGTTAAGTGGCTACTGAAACCCATAGACATCTACAACGTAAATGCGCCACACACCTTGAGATATAAGTTCTAAGGTCTCAGTATAGTTACAACTGCCCCACCCTTCATGTTATTCCTTCACCGTGGAAGTCATTCGTGAACTCGTAGATTCGAACACCGATGCATCGCTATATACGAATGCACCGGCCGTCTTATGCCGGCCACTGACATGGCTTGTCAGTGGCCGGCATAAGAGCATAAGCCGGCCGGTCGTCGGCATGTGAAGGGCCGTCAAACATTCATTCGCAAACCTAGCGGCTGTGCAAATAGGTTCGCATACTCAATTTGCGAACCCGTTTGCCCTTCCTCCTACACTTGTTTACGAATGTCTCACGAATTTCTCCTCCTTTTTAATTCGTCAATAGAACATTGAAGAGAAAAAGAGTTTTGAATTCTTTCCCAGACATCATTAACAGCCATGCTGTTTTTATCGGATTTCTTTTGATGAAGATACGCTACACAGTAGACGTCACGAACTATGAAAATGGAGATACGTCCGTTACCTTCGCAATCGTCGGCGCAACTGGGCAAACGAATATGTGGGAGACTACGCGAAGGTTCGCGGTTCGCGCGCCTTGATGTCTGTTAAAAAACCGACACAGCTTGGAAAACCGCGAATGCAGCGAAAACTTTGCATAATCATTTGCAAATGTCGTCCCACACTTGCGGGTTTGCGTATTCGTGCGCATGTGAGTGACCGGTATTATTCTTTAGGCCACGACTTCAAATATATATACACATACATCTGCCATATAAGACACTGACATACAAAGTTACATTTTAAGTATGCAGAGATGAAACCAGCCTGCCATCTCTGCCATACTGGCTATTCTCTATATTCCTTACACAGGAATATCAATGCTAGACAAATATACCAGTAAACTCTAAATTGATGAAAAAATATATACGTGTTAGTATCCTTTCTAGTAGGTATATACCACAAATAGTTTCCATGCAACTTCTATAAATTAAATATAAAATAAATTAAACAAAATCCTAGAATTTTTATTTTTCTGATTATACAAAAATACTTAAACATCATTTACTCTCCCCCAGCCTAGTCGGATTTTCTTCTCATGAAGTTTTAGCCATGAAGGCATACTCTTAGGCAGTTGTTGAGCATTGGGGAATTTTAAAGGAGGAGGAGGCCTCTTAAATGGGTCTTCATTTTTTAGTTTACGTAGCAAATATTCTTCGTTTATCTTCTTTGGATCGCGATATTTGTCCATATAAAGATTGAAGGGTTTTCGGCGTGGAAACCATTCCTGGGGTCTGATATATGGCGCTGGGAAATCATATTCATATTCTGAAAAAAGTACACAAATTAGTGAGTAACTTAACATCTTTTAGCTTAAGACTAGAGCCTAAACAATAATTTTTAAGGGTTCGTTGAATTTTTAATTAGTTTTTTTTTTTATTGCTTAGGTGGGTGGACGAGCTCACAGCCCACCTTGTGTTAAGTGGTTACTGGAGCCCATCCACCCACCTTGAGATATAAGTTCTAAGATATAAGGTCTCAGTATAGTTACAACGGCTACCCCACCCTTCAAACTGAAACGCATTACTTACTGCTTCACGGCAGAAATAGGCGGGGTGGTGGTACCTACCCGTGCGGACTCACAAGAGGTCCTACCATTTTTTTATTTTTTTTTGTTGCCTATATGTGTGGACGAGCTCACAACCCACACCTGGTGTTAAGTGGTTACTGGAGCCCATAGACATCTACAACGTAAGTGCGCCACACACCTTGAGATATAGATCTAAGGTCTCAGTATAGTCACAACGGCTGCCCCACCCTTCAAACCGAAACGCATCACTGCTTCACGGCAGAAACAGGCGGTGCGGTGGTACCTACCCGTGCGGACTCACAAGAGTGTCCTACCACCAGTAATTGCGCAAATTATAATTTTGCGGGTTTGATTTTTATTACACGATGTTATTCCTTCACCGTGGAAGTCAATCGTGAACATTTGTCAAGTGCGTATTTCATTAGAAAGATTGGTACTCGCCTGCGGGATTCGAACACCGTTGCATCGCTACATACGAATGCACCGGACGTCTTATCCTTTAGGCCACGACGATAAAAGTTTTCTTTAAATTCCTTTCCATTTTCATAAGATTATCACATTAGCTTACCTTATACTCACTATCTGGAAGTATTTAGGATAACAAACATATATTATTTTGTGGAGTTTAGAATATGCGAATTAAAAATTATACCTGGTTCTTTTGCATTTAAGACATTGTGGAAAAAACTTCTAACGGAATAATCCCAAACACTCTGGTAAAACGCTAATCCAATTGGTGTGATATTATCTTGATGTTTTTTATACCATTCTCTAGTAACAAATGTGCGATCTTGAAGAGCTGATGACGAAGTAACTGAAATTTTGCATTAAGAAATATTATTAATATAATAATAAATAATTAATACAGAAGCGAAATGAATTAAATTCATTCATTATTAATCATTCTGCAACATTAATCGAGGCTATAATTGTATTGTTGTAAGTTGTAACATTCAAAAACAAATTGACAATGAATATAAAATCTATACTTAATATTATAAAGCTGACGAGTTTGATTGTTTGAACGCACAAATCTCAGGAACTACTGGTCCGATTTAAAAAAATATTTCAGTGTTAGATAGCCCATTTATCGAGGAAGGCTATATATCATCACGCTAAAACCAATGCAGGCGGAGCACCAATAAATAATGTTTCAAAATCGGGGTTTTTTTCCCTTTTGAGAGCTTCCACTGCGTGCGCTGCGGAAACGGATAGTTTCGCTAAAGTGATGTACCTATGAGAGAATTGTTCGCCTTTAAAAGATCTAAAAAAAAGTCCGCGACAGCATATGTCTACGTTTAAAGGCTGGCTCACTATAACGTTTTTATGCTAACCATATTTGTTCTAAAATAACGCATTGTTTGTGAAGGTGTTTTTTATAAAGATGATATTAATCCCTATCCAAATAAATACGTTATTCATTACAAGATTGAAACACCTAAATCACTTCAAGATAGGCTTTGACAATTATAGATTTTTCTGGATTTCTCCATCATCAGATTTTGATGTAAATAGGACCATACGGGAAGTCTACCCTTTCGAACAAAAAAAAAGAAAAAATATATATCAAAATCGGTTCAAGCATTCTCGAGAAATCGGTGAACATACATAGATAAAAGATTATGGTCGAATTGATAACTTCCTCTTTTGAAGTCGGTTAAAAAGCGTGATTTCGGTTCCTTAAATAGCTCCTTAACATTCTATTATTCAAAAATATTTTCATTTTCTACATAAATGAAGAGGCAGGTAAAATTTAGCGTTATGTCAAAGTAACTATTCCACGTGGACGAAGTCGCAAGCAAAAGCTAGTAAATCATAAAATACAAACCTTTTGGTAAAGCATAATCAATTGTCTTATCCTGTTTATAAAGAACAAACACATATCTGTGGTAACCAGTGCCTTTCAAAGGAAATGGCTGTAAATATTCAACAAGAGTTTCACCCTTCTCGATAGCATTACCAGGTATATTAGCCACAAGCCAATGTAGATATTCCTTTTCATTCTCATATAAATGACCATCTAAGCTAGTAAATGCTAAAGTCCATAATGCATTGTCATCAGATTCATAAGTAATAATTGGTGCCTCTAAAGCCTCTGTAGGCTTAATTACATTTCCTGCACAAACAGGCAAAAATGTGCCATCCTTCAAATTGTACAGAGCATCTATGTTTAAATGCGGTAAAAAATATCCTTCACCATAAAGATGTTCAAATACACCATAATGGTCTGCAATTTGTTTTTTATGAAATGGACCTGTAGTTTTCAGCCATTCTTTTCTGACATCTTCCAGGTTTATTTCAAGTTTTAAATTTCGAGATGATTTTTCCAAGTTTTTATCACTTTTTATTTTTCTCAGATGTTGCAATCGATGATCACGAACTTCTTTACTTTGCCTGGAAATAAAATATATCCAATGACAAATAATACAATAAGTTAATTTTTTGAAAATAATTGTTAAATACTGGTCAAGTATTCAAACTAAAACTTTTAGTACACATTTGTATGTTTAGTACACACATATAAAACTATACATAACTAGAATCTTACACTAAGGTATTAGAATATCTATATTTAGGTTACAAGCAACAACTAAGACTAATAATTTATCTATTATATCTCTGATATACAAGTAGGTAATCTTGTTGAAGAAATGTATTGATACTAGCTTTGACCTAAAAAATGATGTGTTCAAGTAAGACTCCAGACTAAGAAAGAACCAACTAACCTGAGGCATGAGGTCTGTTTCAATTCTATTACAAAATCGCTATCCCACTCTGTAAATTGGAATACAGATACAATGCAAAATTTTTAATATGGTAGTACCTACCCCAGCAAGTGCACCATGATGACTTGTCACTATTATAAATAAGACTTGATCATTTATTCCAAAGTTGTTGATTAAATATCACAACAAATACTAAATAGTTTTTATTTATCTATTGTAATCATATAATTTGAAGTAAGTTCGTACGTATGAAGTACACTAGTATTATTTTACTTCCTTGAAGTAAGTACGTATGAAGTACACTAGTATTATTTTACTTACTTTATTGGTGGGAAGCCAATGTCGATTCGACTTGTGTACAGTTCATCTTTGTAATTAAGTTCTTGGATACGTTGTTTCAAGGACCTCGCATATATAGGCGGATTACCTCGTACTCTGTGCCCCAACCTTATTTGTTGAAGTTGAACAGCAGCTATACGGGCCCCACGGATTGTGTTTAGCATTTTTATTTAAATTTTCAACTAAAAGATAACATCACAAGCAAATTATCTGTATTAAATATTTCTAAAAGATGTGACACTTTTTAAATTTGCTAATGAATTTAATAGCCGTAAAATTACGTTAGATAATATACAATATTATACATAAATATTTGTTAGGTTATTACTGTTAATAGGTTATTAAAGTTGACAGTTGACACTGTTGACAGTAGTAGTGGTAGTTCTATTTTTCCGACTGGTCAGATTTAATGAAGTTGACTAATTTGGTTTTTTTTTTATTGCTTAGATGGGTGGACGAGCTCACAGCCCACCTGGTGTTAAGTGGTTACTGGAGCCCATAGATATCTACAACGTAAATGCGCCACCCACCTTGAGAATAAGTTCTAAGGTCTCAAGTATAGTTACAACGGCTGCCCCGCCCTTCAAACCGAAACGCATTACTGCTTCACAGCAGAAATAGGCAGGGTGGTGGTACCTATCCGCGCGGACCTACAAGAGGTCCTACCACCAATAAATTGCATAATGAATTGCATGAAATTAAATGAAATGAGATGATATGGGATGAGATTTATTCTCAGTAAAATGGTGATTATTTACAGGCATTTTAATGGACTTTTTTGGGAATTTATTGAGAGTTCAATAATCTTTTGATTTTTACTTTATCTATATTCTATAATATTAAATGTAGAATGGAACAAAAACAATTGAAAATGGAAAGAAAGCAAATAAAATGAGGTGATAAGAGATTAAATGAAATGAAATAATATCTCACTAAAATGATGAAAAATTGACTGAGTGTTAGACTTTTTGGAAGAGCCTGAGAATCCATAAACATTGATTGTATTTCGTTTTCTCAGATATGTGCACTTTTACAAATCTGAAACGTTTTGAAGGCATTATTGCTACACGTTTAAACCTCTTCTTATCAGCCCATGGACGTCCACTGCTGGACATAGGCCTCCCCCAAGCCTCGCCACAAAGACCGGTCCTGCGCTGCCTGCATCCAGCGGATCCCCGCGAACCTCAATAGATCGTCGGCCCATCTTGTGGGAAGCCTACCCACGTTACGTCTTCCAGTACGCGGTCGCCACTCAACTTTCTGGCCCCAACGGCCATCCGTTCTGCGAGCAATGTGTCCTGCCCACTGCCACTTCAATGTCGCAATCCTTTGGGCTATGTTTAAACCTCACTAGGCAAAAATTACTAAATTGAATACTATTCACACAGTACTCCAGTGTACTTCTCGTGTACCTACCTGCCAAAAACTTTTTTAGTTTATGCAATACTATTAATAGTTCAATAATCTCGCCCAATCTTCTTACGTGATTCTGATCCGGTAGCAGATTCATTCGCGAAGGAGCTGCTCTTGAGATGATAAGGTCTCCTTTGAGCGCACTCGGGTAGCTGTTAGCAAATCCCACCCCTCCTGGCTGAGCCTGTGTTTGCACATCTGTCCTGACGAAACTGAAAAGGCCTCCGGGCTACCAGTTAACCTACCTTAATAAAAAAAATTCAATAGTAAAAAGTAAAGTAAAACTTAAAAAATCTAATATACCTAGAACAAAAATATTATAGACTAGCTTCCTAGCAGCTCTTAATTATTTTGATGTTTTTTTATGGGAATGAAGCAATTTACCGCGACATTCAACATCAACGCGACTATTGAGTGCCTACACTTCTGTAATGATATTAGAAAATGTACTTAAAATACCTACTTATGATAATATTTTGTATTTCATAAATGCAGAATATTCAGTTGATTTTTTTAGACCTCACGCAGTTATATGATTATTACATCATATGGCACTTAAGTTTTTAAGGCTTAATTCTAATGGTTTCACTTAATCTTTCTCATCACATACAACTAGCTATACTGAGACTTTAGAACTCATTACTCAAGGTGGGTGGTAGCATTTACGTTGTAGTACCTACTATATGGGCTTCGGTAACCACTTAACACCAAGTGGGCTGTGAGCTCATCCACCCATCTAAGCAATAAAAAAAAAATACGTCATCTCAATATTTTTTTCTCTGATTTTTGGTTATTTCCTATAAAGGTGAGTCTGTAAATAAAAATACATTACTTCGAAAAAATGAATACTGTGATTTTTATTCATAACCTGTTAAAATTTGACATGTAATAACTACTCGCCAATTCTAAAATCATAAAAATTAAATAGGAGCAAGATAAAAAAAGTATTCTTGTCAATTGTGGATGAGTAAGTACAACTTTAACCGGTCATCGTTCTCGTCGAACCCGTCGGTTGCGACGAAGGGCTCGACGAGTAAATTAACCCTCAGACACAGCCCACTGAGTTTCTCGCCGAATCTTCTCAGTGGGTCGCGTTTCCGATCCGGTGGTAGATTCTGCGAAGCACGGCTCTTGCTAGGGTTCGTGTGAGCAACGTCGTCAGGTTTGAGCCCCGTGAGCTCACCTACTAGTTAAGGTTACGCTGATATAGCCTCTCAAGGCTATCAGAATAGGTAGGGAATTTTTTTTTTTTTTTTTATTTCGGAAAGATCCTTCTCCTTTAATTTGAGCTATCTCTTACCGTGTCTTTTTTTGAAGTATGAGTTATCGTATGAAGGGTAGAAATATTCGCATTGGTCATGGTTTAGCTACACCGACTATAATATGAGAACTACGATAGAATGTTTTATGGTGTCACCATAAATGTAACTATTATCGGTAATCGGTAAAGCCTTGTATGTTTATTTGTCCGTTGAAAGTAATTTGTCTTGACCAACTTCATTCAACAGCGAATGCCGAACATACCTAACTAACTGCGCTTACTTAATATTGTCTTATGATTAACAAGAACAAAGAAGCTCATGACTCATTGCTGACTTCATGTTATGCAGTCATTATGATTTAAAAGCGACAACCCAATATATCCGCATGTTCGCACGCAAAAGATGCCGTACCCTATGATGGGCGTCTGTACTTAGATAAGCAAGTAACCGACGCAGGGCGGCGCGTGCCGTAAGGAACTCTGCGCGAATCTTTTCTACTAAGGCCTGCAAATTGCCGGACGTTTAACGGAACGTGTCTGATATACAATGAAGAACGCTAATGAACCGAGACTGTTTTAAGGTTTCGATTAGTTGTTACCTTACGAATTTTCTCGGCTTTCTTAAACACTTACGCTATGATCTTTGTATTTGATGTTATTACTGACTAATGTAAATGAGGGAAAATAGCCTTTAAATCCATGTCCGGCATTAAGGGAGAGGCGCTAGAACTGGCTAGAAGCCACGCTGATATTAAATGTCAACCATTTGTACTATTACATAGAAATACGTTTCTACTAGACTGCACAAGCCGGAAATTTGGCGGATCGTTCATCCTTCTCTAACATTCGCGTTACGGAGAAATAGAGAAAAATGCTGAAGCGAATATGATTTTAATGTGTGAACAAGTCTGATCTAGTGTTGTGCAAACTTAAATGTATACGTTTCGTTTATCATATTTGTTGATTGATCGCAAATTATCAAAGACTGGCGTATTCTCATAGACATACTTCAGTGCGTATTCTGCATTTAATGGTGTATTCAATAGACTGACGGAAGAATCAGTAAATCAATGAAACGACCAAAGAGAATAATCTAAATATATATAAATATATAATTATAGTCACTAGATTGTGGATGAATGTTTGTAATTGGTACTAGATAGTAAAGTAAAATACGGCGATATATACACTGTAGGACACTTATGAACAGTATTCAATTTGAGTGAGACAGTTCCGACAGTGCACACTAATTGTGTTTTACAAATAAGACTCCAAAAGAAAGATCAATAAAATGTTAAATTTAAAACACTAAGCTATTTTATCACACAGCGAAGTGAGTATTTGTGTCTTGAAAGTATTTTGTTAGGTACATATAGTGGGTGTTGTGTTTTAAATAAATTTGACTCTCCTATTTAATTCACATTGTGTTTTAGGAGCCATTTACACATGGTGAAAAGTCACGTACTCATTTGCAACTATAAACAAAAATGATCCACGTAAGAAAGTGACAAATAAATAAAGTCGAAACAGTGCGTGCATTTTGTCCCAGCAAAATGGATATCAAAAATATTCAGAAAAACGCCATGCAAAAAAGTGCGGAGTTCACTTTCACTCCGCCACCCGAGGCTCCAGTATTTGAACCTACAGCTGAAGAGTTTTTGGATCCCTTGAGTTATATCGCTAAAATTCGTCCTGTGGCTGAGAAAACAGGAATTTGCAAAATTAAGCCACCATCTCGATGGCAACCACCTTTTTCGTTAGATGTGGACAAATTGAAATTTGTTCCTCGCATTCAAAAAGTAAATGAGCTGGAAGCTATTACGAGGTTAAAACTTTTGTTTCTTGAAAAAATCTTAAAATTTTGGGATTTACAAGGCTCCCCCTTAAAGATACCTATGATTGAAAACAAAACTCTGGACCTTTATTGTTTAAAATTTTGGGTTGATGAAGAAGGTGGTTTCGAAAATTGTAATACTCCTAAAAAATGGCGAAAGATAGCAAATTCCATGGGTTACAGTCAAAATACCAGTACAATGAATTTTTTAAGGAGCAATTATGAGAAAATATTACTTCCATATGAAATATTTGAGAAAAGCAAAGCTGATATTTTGAAAACAGTTAAAAAGACTGAAACAAAAACTGAATCTAAGGTTGGAGAACCTGGAAAATTAATGTTTAAAGAAGTATCAGTAGAATCAATTACCAAAGTCAAGGATGAGAGCGAATTGAAAGAAGAAAAGCTCAGCAAAAGTATAAAGAAAACAAAAACAGGTTCAGATATTACAATTGAAATAGATTTGACCAAAAGTAATTTAGAAAATGAAGTATTAAAAAGAAACCGTGAGTTAAGAAGATTGGCTTGCTATGGACCAGGACCTAAAATGCCAGGACTCAATGATGAAGAATTTGATATAACTAAATCCAGAAAAAGACCGCGGTATGATTTGGATCCATTAGCAATTTATATTTGTGCAATTTGCCAAAAGGATCACAGAGATGACCTGCTTCTCATTTGTAATGGTTGTCAAGATACTTATCATACATTCTGTTTAAAACCACCACTGACAGCTGTGCCAGATGGAGACTGGCGATGTCCCTGTTGCATTGCGGCAGAGGTACATAAACCAGCAGAGGCATTTGGGTTTGCTCAAGCTGAAAGAGAATATACGCTTCAGCAGTTTGGAGAAATGGCAGATAAATTTAAATCTGAATATTTTAGCATGTCTGGTCATTTGGTTCCCACTAATGTTGCAGAGAAAGAATTTTGGAGAATAATTTCATCAGTAGAGGAAGATGTTACGGTTGAATATGGAGCAGATTTACATTCAATGGACCACGGCTCTGGATTTCCAACTAAATCATCTCTAAATCTCTATCCTGGTGATCAAGAATATGTTGATTCTGGTTGGAACCTCAATAACTTGCCAGTCTTAGAAGGCTCTGTATTAAGATTTATTAATGCAGACATATCAGGTATGACTGTCCCTTGGATGTATGTAGGGATGTGCTTTTCAGCATTTTGTTGGCATAATGAAGATCACTGGAGTTATTCTATAAATTATTTACATTGGGGTGAAGCAAAAACTTGGTATGGAGTACCTGGGAGTGGAGCAGAACTTTTAGAAAATGCAATGAAAGCAGCAGCTCCTGACCTTTTCAAAACCCAACCAGATTTACTGCATCAGTTAGTTACTATAATGAATCCTAACATTCTTATGGCTGCAGGGGTGCCAATTTACAGAACTGATCAGCAAGCTGGAGAGTTTGTTATCACTTTTCCAAGAGCATATCATGCAGGATTTAATCAAGGATATAACTTTGCTGAGGCAGTTAACTTTGCTCCACCTGATTGGTTACCTATTGGACGAGAATGCATCACTCATTACAAAAAATTAAAAAGATTCTGTGTATTTTCTCATGATGAACTTATATGTAAAATGGCATTAGAAGGAGATAGATTAGACTTGGATACTGCATTACAAACACAAAAAGAGTTAATGCGCGCTACACAAGAAGAGGGATCTTTCCGTGGAAAGCTGGCAGACAAAGGTATAAAGAATGTTCGCAGAACTGCATTTGAGCTGCTCGGTGATGATGAACGACTTTGTGAAATCTGCAAAACGACTTGCTTCTTATCATCTGTTTCATGTAGTGAATGCAAACATATGGCATGCTTACAACATGCAGAAGTTATGTGTGAATGTAAGTGGGAGAAAAAAACCTTATACTATAGGTATGACATGGATGAATTGCATATAATGGTACAAACAATTGACTTTAGGGTTAACAGCTTTGATAAATGGATGACTGATGCCAAGACCCTTTTGCTCCCCACTGCCCCTGATATAGGTAGACTTCAAAAATTGAAAAATTTGATTGATGAAGCTGATGAGTTAAAATTACCAAAATGCAAGTTATTTCATCAATTAAAAGAAGAATATACAAAAACCACCGAGAACACTGAACCGATTGTAATAGAACTTGATGATGATTAATTTAAAAAACCAACTGTAGTACAAAATATTTTAGTGATTGACCTTAAAATTATAATCAATGAAAAATTGTCATGAAGAGATATCAAATAATACTAGTGCTACATCTATCTCAGTCTAGAAAATAAGAAACTTGTTTCATATTAAAATTATAGTTGCAAGTTTTTATTAACTTCCTAGTATGTCATCAATAACATAAAATATTGATTCTTACAATGTTAGAGTATTATAATATTTTTTTTAAATATAAATAATAGCTCTGCACTCTTAGTTCTTATAACAAGGTTGCTGAATATTGTTATTTGTGTAGTATAGTATTATATCTGTATATTTGAATGTAAGGTTTAGATTGACATTGTAAGTGTTTTGTGTAACTCTCCAATTTCACTTATATTTTATTTCATGCTGCCTCTTCACTCTGCGCATTTGGTCAAATATTCTGTATCCGATTGAAACAAAATAAACTTAAAATTAGTGTAATTTTGTTTAGACTTGGTACTGACTATTTGCACAAATTCGGTAAAGATGTTATACACCCACAATGAGTTATCATGATGATTTGTAAAGCTCTTATAGTCTTGCCGATGTGTTCTTGTGAAATGCTGTTATTAACATGATTATTAGTTAAAAAGATAAATATGCTATATTATTCTGAACATAAGTGTGTTACATCCCACCGCCTATGAATATATTTAATTTAGTGCTTTGTTTTAAAAATTGTTAAATTAGAATATGATCACTAATTATTTAAGTGTGTGCGTTTGAATTCTAGTGACAATTAATGGATGCATATATTGAACTTTTTGCTGTATTATTTAGACCTTTGCTAACTCATATAATAATACGATAATTTTGTGAAACTTCATTTATCTTCCATATCCAGAATTATTATTTTGGTTACATATTAATGAAAACATAATTGATCTCAATAAAAACTTTGCTGTTTCATTTAGGGACAATTGCATTACTAAAATTCCTTAAATTCCAAGCCAATATTTTGTAAAATACTAATAACAATTCTAAGTTATTCTATCTATACTATACAAGAGAAATGAATATGCAATTTAATAATTATCCAAGTGAAATACTTATCACCTATATTGTAATGTAAAGTTAAGAAAGCAGAGTGTTTCGAAGTAATTTTATGTGTAATGTAACAAAATGTCCGCTAAATTAATTTTATATTCAATTCCAGTTTATTCACATATTTTGTTGAGACATATGAAAGTTCAAATTAGTAACAGACCCAGAAGCACTTGTAATATTCTTGTTATAATGCAGAAATATAATTCTAAAATACGCGTATGATGTAGATAAGAATTTGGTGCCGAAACTAAACAGAAAAAATGTTTGGACATTTCTATTTCAGTAAATACTTGATCGAGGGATAAATTCTATAAAAATGCCGATGGTGTCGTGTAGCAATATAGCCACAGTAGTTTAAAAATGGATAATACTAGTACATTCAGCATGTTTCGTTTATTTTAATATCCTGTGCAATGTTCTATAAACTGCGTATTGCGACTGCGTATGTATCATCATCCGGCCTATTTCCAGCGCTAAGCAGTGATCTCTTCCGATTTGAATAGCCGTTATACAATACAATGCAATTGAGACATCACAAGGTTATCAAAGTCTCCAAACCAGTTAACAGGATCTTAGAGATACCTAATTGGTCGGCTCAATAACTGTCACGCATCACCTTTAGATATTATTAAGTGAAAGAATACTAACTACTTACGATCCGACTATAAAAGATACAAGAAGATTGTATGAAATGCGAATAAGCTATTACCCTCCAAAGTAAACAAATACAAGGTATTTTACGAATACAGATGCTGGAAACAACTCCCGTTCGCTCGACGCATTCATCTAATGCCTATTTTAATATTAGACATAAAAATTAAATTAATAAAAATAAAAAAATAAAAACATTTTCTACAATTTTTTGTAGGTATTTCGGTTTCGTGTTGTTTCCCATTAGATGAAGTTCTTTTTAAACTATGAAGGAACAAGGCCCAAACTTTGTGATTCATGACCATTAATATTCATAAATGATTCCTTGCTATAACTGTTATACCGACGACGGATTAATTTATATAAAAAAATTGCTTGACAATATTTTTTTTAAAGAATTTGGAAATCCAGAAATGTAACCAAAATGAATTAATTATTGATGTCTATCTTAATTTTCCATTTCATAAACCTAATATAGTGACGTAGTTGTAAGATTTATTTGATTGAGACTGCAACATATATTTTTAAGTGTCGTAAATGTTCATTATGTTACACAAGGTAAATCATAAGTTTATTTACATTTAATTAAATTTTTCATTAGTGTGATTTGTACGTACTGTGATTTTTTGCTGCGAACACCTATATTAATGTAACAAACGTGAGTATTATATAACTAGTAATAAATTATAATTTTCAGTAGTGCACGTTGAGACTTTTATTTAATGTAATCATCACAATGCATTTTATTTGAAGATAGGGGGTTTTATTAAATACTAAAGCCATATTTGTTAACATTTTATTTAAAAAAGTATAAATTAAACATCACAAAGGTTAATTAATTGATAAAGTATTTGGTGTAATAATCGTGATCCGATCACGATAATATTGTATAAAGCTTAAATAATCATAATAAATATCTCCAAAATCCCTAAGCTACGTGTTTTGTGTCAAGAAGAAACATTGATTATACATTGATATCTTTAATAAAATTACACCTTATCCGACTTTCATTTGTGATATAGATAAATTAATAATTTCCTTAATAAAAATTCTACAGACGTCACAATAATATTAATCAGGCCATTAAACGCATGTCAAAATTTGATTAATTAGAGGATGTTTGAGTGTAATCATTATCTGATAGAAATAATTTGCTTTTATTGTGAAGTCTATTCAGAATTACATTAATTACTTAAGGCGAACGTCTATAGATATAATATTTAATATAAAGCTGGGCAGGAATTGTTTAAAACTATTAATGCGATGAAAACATCAAAGGACGGATACATTATAGGTACAAGGACGGAAGTTTTGAGTATTTTAGAACTTTGTTCCTTATGAACTACCTACATGAAAAAAAAACTGAATCGTTTAGACTTAGGAGTTCCATTTAAGTACACAGACGGTAGTTACATAACATACTAGAAATTAATCACAATAAATAACATACAAAATACAACAAACCAGGTACGAAAGCGCACAATACACCGGTTTAATTTTACAATTTTACTGGATCAATCAGCGTGTAAGAAAAATCAAAATTTTGTTAAATACATGTCGCATGTTGCATCATGTTTGTACCTAAAGCGAACAAGCCGGGATCACAGATTACTTGTGTAAATAAGAACACGGAACTAAAAAAGTAAATATTGCACTTATTATCCAGACTTTCTCGGTTTCATTTATCGTCGGTTATCAAAAATTCATCTTTAGGTTAACATGGTCTTAAATTATACTAGGTACTGCTTTTATTGTCTTCGTAGGCAGACGAGCTTGCGACTTTCCTATCTAATGGTAAGTAGAAATCCCCGCCCATGGACCCAGCAATGCCAACAAAAGTGTACTAATTCTCTTTCGACTGATCTTAAGATATATCTGACAAAAGCCTACTGCGAGTTTACCAATAAAACACAAACGCGTTTACAGAGTTCACTATTTCCTAGCGAATGTCACACAGTTGTATAGTTAAGTTTAATTTTCGTACTAAATGACGATTACTGATCTTAAACATATAGACATAAGTGATTGTTTTGAACACAGCGAAGGAAAGTTAATGATGATATATGTAAAATTAAGAATTAAGGTATTATTTCATATAGAGACGTTTGAAGGTTTTTGATTCTCATTGCGTAAGGGAGAAGGTTTTCTTGGAAAAAGGCAATTTCAATCAGATTTTTTTTAAATAATACTGATTTAAACTCGAAAGTACGAAAAGTCAAAGTAGTCTTAATTAAATCTATGACCTACCTAGCTACCAGCAAATCAATAGGGAAAATAAAAATAATACAATAACAGTTGAGGATTAAAAATTACGCGATCTTGTAAATAAACTCTCAAAAACATGAGGCACGTTATTGAACCTAAGACATTGCACGGTACAGTTTAGAAAGAGCGTTTCTCCTGGTTTATTGTATTGTTAAAAGTATGAACATCTTAATACATTTATTAAAAAAAAAACGAAAGTTAAAGCTTAAATTAAGTACGTACTTGTAATAAAAATGTATATTTTTACGAACGAAGATACGACAGTCCATTTCACAAAGTCGTTTTGGTATAACATAAATTTTACAATTAAAATCGACGGCACCAACTGTTGCCCCGTAGAAGTTCAGTAAAAAAATATTATACATAATAATATATCTTACGAAACACAAGCAAAAACAGTTTAATGTTTTAATTACGGAACGAATGTTACGTATTATTATTTTTATCTTAAGTTAGTTCGCAGTCTTTTAGAGTTAAAATAAAAACCTAAGAATGAAATGCAATATTGGTGAGTTTAAAATATTCCTTTCTTAACTCTTAATTTTAAATGATTTGCTCTGAACTTAATATTATTTGAGTTCATATAGTAAACATAATACTTTAAGATTTTTTTAAGTAAGTACAATTTTTTATTCAATATCATTTCAAGGCACTGCATAATGTTTTTTTTTAAATCTAGCTTTTATACTGTCAAAGTTACGTTTATGTAAGTATCCTATAAATTCCTGTATTCGAACCAACCCTATTTTTTTTCCAATGATTTAGCCGACATCGATTTAGGGGTACACAGTTACCAAAAAAGTAAATTTCATTTTATTGGAACACCGCAATTATATCGAATGTACATTTGAAAGAGAGTATTATTCAATCAGTCACTTAGTCGTTTAATTAAAGAACTTCTAAATTTACTTTCGGCTTATGCATAGTGCTAAATATGTTTTAAAACCATTCACGTTCATTCATCTGAGTATGGATGCTGGAATCATGTATCGAGACTAAAATAAGTACATATTCGGGATTTACTTATTTTTGATATCACTTTGGTATCACTGGTACTGGCAGTCAGGGTTGCTAGACCGAAAATTTCGTTAAATAAGCCAAAGGACAAAACACTGAAGAACCGTTGAAGAAACGTTATACATAAAAATGTTATACATTGAATTAATATAAATCTTTAGCTGTCAGTGATTATTGTCCAATTTCGATCATTGAGCGAACATTCATGTTTGTATAATAACACTCATTACCTTCACATAAATATTGAATATTATCAAAACCATTTTTGAGATTCGAATGTCGAATATTTATTAAATCGATATTAAAAAAAAAAAAACATGTGTACCAATTGTTAGGTAAAGGTTACAGTAGCATGTGAGAACATTCCTTTCAAAATGACATTGTGAGATATATATTAGCCGTTGGACTAAGTATTCGGTAAGTATTTATAGTACGTTGCATTATAATGTTCTTATGGTGCAGCCCTACTTAATTATTTTTATTTTATTTTACAATTATTTTTGTTATTCGCTCAATTATTTTTCCAACAATGTTGATTGAACGGATTTAGTTCTCGACATCACTAGATATTTTTTTCCTATTGAAAATTTCAAATTGAACTTTATCTTATCACCCACTTTATGTGATGACCATGTAACAAACAGTATGAAGGTAAAACATTTAAATATTTTTTTAAATTAAAGTAGACATTTAACGCCCTATGGAAACTATAAGAATAATTTAGGGATATGTTTTTTTTAAACATGCTTCGCATTTCAGGCTCCGATGTCGACAATGTACAGACCTAGGGAGATTTTTTAAGTTGCTGTCGTCACTGTGTCTCGCATCTCTCTCCCTTTCGTCTCGATGGGTAGAGCGAGACAGGCAAAGGCAGCTAAAACCGCCGCCAATGCGTACACCCCGGTCGCTATAGCCACCGAGTTCTTTAGTAACACCTGTATTTAAATATGGCAGAGCATTAGGTTGAGGACGTAGAAATGGATTGAGGGTAGTTGGATAAAAAAAATGCAGCTTTTATAGGTGTGGTCCAGGATATTTTTTATCTTTCTAGATGGGTAGACAAGTTCACTGGGGTCCGTGAACATTTGAACGTAAATATTGCGGATCATTTTGAGTCATAAGGTCGAAATTTCAATTATTTTAGGTAGAGATTATTTCGTAAGCAACGATTTGGTTTTTCCGCTGGCTTTGCTGAAGTCTATTAGCGATGGTAACCACTCACCACGAGGGTAGTGTGTACTACTTAATAAAAAAAAAAATACTGTCCTAATCTTGAAGCTAAAACGTGTTAATTAGTGCACCGCTAACAACACGTAATGAACCGCAAGTAAATAGCACGTACTTTATCTATGGATTAACATTTAATTGTGACGTATCCGAATTCCTCTATGAAATCAGCATTTCACATTCAACGCACTTAAAATGTATAGATATATAATATATATTTATATAGACGAAAAACATATCGAGGGGTGAAAGGCTATATGGTTTAAGCGACATTTTTGGAACGTTACAGGAGAGCCATTTAATGTTTAAAATTTGGAAAACATATAATGAAAAAAAGAAACTTCTTCGGCTATTTGAATGGAGTAACCATAATTGAAGTTCGATTAAAAACATCGAATTGTCGATGATAATCTATACTAATATTACAAAGAGGAAAGATTTAATTGTTTGTTTGTATTGAATAGGCTCCGAAATTACTGAACCGATTTGAAAAATTCTTTCACTGTTTGGAAACTACACTATTCCCGAATTATTTTATTAATCATTATTTAAAAAAAATTAGGTATCCTCACTAAAACTCCAATAATGTAACCCAAGGTGTGAAAAAATTACCAAAAATATTCTTTACATCGCGTGCCCTGCGAAAACTATTGATGATAGAATAAAATAAGGTACTACGACTTTGTAGAACACATTATTATATACAAAAAGAGTCGCGACAGCATATTTCTAGTAATTCCGCAATAAGTGTTATTTTATTTAAAAAAATAAAACAACATCTGATATCGTTGAAATTTTTGTTAAAGACCCGAGCGGAGCCGGAGCGGGCCGCATGTACCAAATAAAATGGAACTTTAATCACAAGGATAAGTTTTGCGTATTCAGCCAAATGTCGCTTAAACCATTCGCATAAAGCCATTCAACCGCTCAATATTATAATCACAGATCGGGAATACCAAATGTCTTAGCAATGGTATCCGTTCTGAATGGAATACGAACTCTGACCCTATAGTGCCGCAGTTAAGACTATTAACCACAACATGGCGGCACCATGGAATGATGTTGCAATCTTTATGATGGACCACAGAAATCCGAATATCCGAGTCTCTATCCCTAAGAAACATTTTCAAGGGTCGTATTAGTTAAGCGATAGACTTATTCATTTATCGCTCAACTACATATTCTTGTGATCATATAATCTCAAAACGAATCGGTTGGGCGTTAATTGAACGAAAAAAAACACATTTTGTAATTCGAATTTTTAAGTGCATTTAAAGTATTGGAATAACTAAAAAGTATCAATACGTCAAACAAAGCAAAACAGTTTTTTTTTAAATAACGAATTGTTTACCTGTGCCACGTAGGGCGTGATCATGGCTCCCAGTCGAGCGACCCCGCTGCACGCGCCCACCGCTGTCGCTCTCAGCGCTGTGGGATACACCTGAACCAAAAATTACATAATTTTACGCGCTGGTAAAGTACAACTAAAAACTGTATTCAACACTTAGAACACTTCACAAACACTTTAAAACTCTCAATTCGCTTCTTCCGCTTCGCTTCAGGTGATCCGTTCGCTGTTTCGCTTCGAGTAGTTCCGATTACTGACTGACTTTGCTAACGCTAACCCTAGCAAGAGCCGTGCTTCGCAGAATCTACCACCGGATCGGAAACGCGACCCACTGAGAAGATCCGGCGAGAAAGTCAGTGGGCTGTGTTTGAGGGTTAATTTACTCGTCGAGCCCTTCGTCGCGAGCGACGGGTTCGACGAGAACGGTGACCGGTGCTTATACCTAAAAGCACCGTTAGTGGATCGGGAGGATCCGAAATGACGTGTATGGGGCGACGTCGACTGCTTTCCATTCTGTCCGCAGCCTCAAATAGCCCCTCAATCAGCTTAGGTAGGAAAAAAAAAAGAAACGAAGCACTGCTCTTGCTAGGGTTAGCGTTAGCAAAGTCAGCCCTGTGAGCATACATACTTGTTAGGGCTGCGCTGACATAGCCTATAATGATTATAGTGTGATGTACATTTACTTGTAGCGCAATATTATGCCATTTAATTGTTTTCATCGATTACCAAAGAGTCAAATTTAAGAAACAAGTGCTTAGTAGGTAACATGATAGAAATATACTTGTAATAATGTATTAAATACCTCTGGAGTGTAAACATAGGCCGCTTGGAAGAGTCCAGCTATAATACCCCGAGCCAGGAACAAAATGCAAGTGAGGAATGTCCGACTGTGAAGTACACGATAATTCAACGAGTTATTAAAAAAAAGACACTATACACTTTTTTATACAGCTATTCTCGTTTGATTTAGTACGCGTGCCTACGAACACGTAGTACGTCACTAGTTAGTAAAACTTGACGCACTTGGACGACAGGGTTGTCAAAAAAAGAAAAAAAGATTATTGTAATGTAATTCTTGCTGTATTCAGTAGGGTTGTGTGTTTCATTTTGTTATATTATTATATTTTACTAGCAGCCCGCCTTCGCTTCGCTTCGGGAACTATAATTTATTATTGATTATATTGAAATTTATTTTAGGTATACTAGTACATTTTTGAAATTTTTGTTAAAGACCCGAGCGGAGCCGGAGCGGGCCGCTAGTATTATATAAGATGAGAACAGCTTCTTTTTCTTTTTTCCCTTATGATTGATTTATTCTTCCCCACTATGTGTAAGTACGGCATGTCTTCTTTTACCATTCGGGCCTATCATACGTTATCTCTGTACTCTCGCCCTTGTCTCACATTTCCTCTTTCACATAGCCTATCCAAGTCGTTTTAGAACGCCCTCTCCCCTCTTAAGACAACAGTATTGAAATTAATTGTATAGTACAGCGGTCGGGGAACCGGGGTAAAATTAACTTTTGGGGGGTAAAAATGAAACTTTTGTGAGTAAAAAGTATACCTAGTCAGGTCATAAATTCTGTCACATGTTTAATGTAAAATAATTGAAACAAGTTTATTCATTATGTAACCATTCATATACCAAAATGAACTTAACAAAACATAGATTCTTATGACACTAAAGTTTATTCAAAATGACCTCCGTGATTTTGAATACAGGCCTTCAATCTGCGCGGCCAGTCGTCTATCGCAGCACGAACGAGGTCCATGTCAATATCGGCGGCTGCCTTAATCAAGGATGTCTTGAGTGACTCCAAATTGGGATGAGGCTTTGAGCACGCCTTTTCCTCCAAGTGTTGCCATATCTTGTAATCTAACGGATTCAAATCTGGACTGGAGGAGGGCCAGTCTTCGTGCCGGATGAAGTCGATTTCACGCGCCGCCAGCCAGTCTTGTGTGCTCTTCGCTCTATGAGCTGGCGCCGAATCTTGTTGGAATACCCAGTGCCTGTTATTGAACATGGTATGAGAAACAGGTTCCACAAGGTTCGTCAGGACTGTATTTTGATACACAACTGCATTCGTTTTTACACCTTTCTCACAAAAATGTACCTCTGTTAAGCCCCAATAAGAAACTCCCAACCATACCATGAGCGAGGATGGAAAATGACCTCGTTGGACACGCGGAATACGGTTGCTCGCTTCTTCACTACTGTGTGCGTACACCTTATCATTTTGTTTGTTGTAGCTCTCTTCTACGGTAAAAATTTTTTCATCCGAAAAAAGAATTTCCCGATATTTTTTTCCCGCGTACCGCTTCAACAAAGCGCGGCATCTCTTCAGTCTCAGGTCCATTAGACGAGCATTCAAACGATGTCCTGTTTTTCTTCGATATGCCCGAAGCCCTAAGTCTTCATTTAACACCCTTTTCACCGTGGTTCTGCTTAACCCCATCTGAAGGGCCAACAGTTTCTGCTTACGTTTGGGATTTCTTTGAATTCGCGCCTTCACAGCTTTTATCACTGCTGGAGTCCTAACAGACCGAGGGCGACCACTTCTTGACCTGTCATCTACACTAGAGTCTTCATTGTATCGTTTGATGGTACGATAAACGAATCTTTTGGTTATATTCAAATTTTTCAGTATGTTAAAAATTTGAATTGGCGCGTAACCGCAACGATGCAACGCAATAACTGCAACACGGTCTTCTTTAGGCGTCCACTCCATATTTAAAAATGAGTAAAATTCTAAAAGTATACATTTTTATTTTCATGAACAATTCGAAATTCGAATTGAATAAACTTTTTTGTGGCCAGCATTCTAAAGGAAAAGTTTTTACTGTGTGACAATACTTATGACCTGACTAGGTATATTGAAGTGAAACTTCTTTAGAATCGTAATTTTTTTTATTATTGTTTTCTTTTCAAAATTATCATGGGAGCTATAATATGAAAGATACTAAAAAGAAGCGATTTCGTTTTTTTTTGTACTTCACCATGGGGTAATATCAACTTACACAAAAATATTTTGCGGTAATAATTAAAAATGTTCCCCGACCCGCTGGTATAGTAGATAATACGGCTTTAGTATTGTTATCTCATTGTTTCATATCATATCATGACATGAAAATTGATGATGATTCATGTTAAGAAACTATTTTTAGAACTCACCATCCGTTTCTAGATTGGATACTCATCTACGTCGCGCAATGAGCTTAACTTGGTTACATTCGGTATGATAACTTTCGGTTTGAAGGGTGAGGCAGCCGTCGTAACTATACTTGAGACCTTAGAACTCATATCTCAAGGTGGGTGGCGCATTTACGTTGTAGACGTCTATGGGCTCCAGTAACCACTTAACACCACGTGGGCGTTGAGTTCGTCCACCCATCTAAGCAATAAAAAAAAGGATTTTAGACTTACTCAGAGTTATAAATCAACACGCAGACGCACAAAGCGAATATTATGAACTGCGTCGCCATTGTTCGTTTGCGACCGAATTTCTCGATAATGAATATTGTCGCGAAAATACCTGTAAGAGTAAATTATTTTTATGTTTATTAAGCTATTGCATAGCTTTTATCGCGGGCTTTGTTATACCAAAATGTAGTTGTGTGAGTGAATTCATCTTCAGAATCTATTGTTAGAATGTAATAAGAGATATATTCTGGTAGAATACCTTAATAGAGGATTATTAATCGATATTTTTTAATTATTGCTTAACAGGCGTGGACAAGCTTACAGCCCACCTGGTGTTAAGAGGTTACCGGAGCTCACAAACATCAACGTTAATGCCGCCACCCACCTTGACGAGTGAGTTTTAAGGCTCACAAGACCTCCTATCACCAGTTATTACGTAAATTACTTTTATTTTATTTTTAGAGTAATAGGGTGGGCACTCGTGAAGCCACGATTTTTATTTTTTTTTTATTGGCCTTGAAGGCAGACGAGCATGCGGCCCACCTGATGATGAGTGGGTACCGTCGCCCATGGACTCCAGCAATCTCAGGGGCAGAGTCTAGCCGCTGCGTATCGCTTAATAATCTCCACAAGCCTCATTTGAAGAAGGACATGTCATAGCGCTCGGGAAACACCGTGGAGGGGAGCTCATTTCATAGCCGGATGGTACGTGGCAAAAAAGATCATTTACCCGGGAACTCTGCTAGTGTAGTCCACAATAAATCCATGTAATCCGTCGTCTGAAGCGGCCTGCAGTCAGCGGCACACGCTTCCTCCAGTCCACCAGGATTCGATTCGAACAACTCTGTCGCCATCAGGACTAAGCCGTAGTAACAGAAGGCACAGGACATCCTAAAACGAAAAAAAATATATCGACGCTTTAAAGGCAAACGTGACTAAGCGATAATACCTGAACTTTACAGTAGACTAATTTAAAGTTTTAAATACCTGAAATAAAATCTATTTTAACGAATCTAGCTGTAGGATTGAAATAATTTTAATAGACCTAGAAATATATTTTTTTTGCGCATCGAATATGGTTATTGCCTATCATTTATGAACAAAGCAGTTATTGTCGCTTAGGCACGTTTGCCTTTCAAGCGTCGATATCCTTTTAGTTTACTGCTACGATTCAAGCGTCGATATCCTTTTAGTTTACTGCTACGATTACTATGTACTTCTACTGACGGTTTTCTTTTTTTTTATTGCTTAGATGGGTGGACGAGCTCACAGCCCACCTGATGTTAAGTGGTTACTGGAACCCATAGACATCTACAACGTAAATGCGCCACCCACCTCGAGATATAAGTTCTAAGGCCTCAGTATAGTTACAACGGCTACCCCACCCTTCGAACCGAAACGCACTACTGCTTCACGGCCGAAATAGGCGGGGTGGTGGTACCTACCCGTGTGGACTCCCAAGAGATCCTACCACCAGTAATTACGCAAATTATAATTTTGCGGGTTTCATTTTTATTACACGATGTTATTCCTTCACCGTGGAAGTCAATCATTAACATTTGTTGAGTACGTATTTCATTAGAAAAATTGGTACTCGCCTGCGGGATTCGAACACCGGTGCATCGCTTCATACGAATGCACCGTAGGTCTTATCCTTTAGGCCACGACTACTTCTAAAATCTCGACTTCACTATTGTAGTGGTACATTATACAACAGGATTGAGTCTTCGACATTCGATGGTTCGGGGTGAGTGACGGCGTTGAATTTGTTATGGCGATAGGCCTAAAGACTTATCTGTGGCATCTTGTTTTTATCGCTTAGTTGGGTGGATGAGCTCACAGCCCACCTGGTGTTAAGTGGTTACTGGAGCCCATAGACAACTCTCTACAACGTAAATGCACTACCCATCTTGAGATATAAGTTTTAAGGTCTCAGTATAGTTACAACGGCTGCCCCACCCTTCAAAGAAATAGGCAGGGTCGTGGTACCCACCCATGCGGACTAACAAAATGTCCTACCACCAGTAAAATGAATACAATTAATGAATTCGTTCAAGAATGAAGTGTAACAAGAACTGTTTTTTTTTCATATAATTTTAATTGAAACCTTATCTATTTTCTATAGGACTAGACATTTTTTACCATATAAACCACAGCAGAAGGCTAGTGTTCCTCAGATGCGGTATGAGCAAGTGCTTCAATCTTCCCCGTTGACCTATGCCCACAGAATCATCGCACACCAAACGCCCAAGTAACATGGGTCGACCGTTGTCTTGTGCAATCTGAGAAAAAAAAAAACATAATTTTATTATACATGACTTACAAACGTTTTTATTGAACACGAAAGCTGGCTAGAGTAAACTTTTAAATTAAAATTAAAGTTGTTTTTTTTATGTAAGCTGAACACAATGTTTATATAAAACTTACAAAGAACTCATAAAGACTTACTTGTTTAAGAGTAGCAAGTGCTTTATCAGCTTCCCCGCTAGCCACATGAAATCGAGCCGACTCTGGCAGCCACTGCAAACCAAATTTCAAAGTCATTTAATGAAAGAGCTTAACTAAAATTATCAATTTTAGAATCTACAGAAAATTTCTAAAAGACGACATTTTCTGATTACACTAAGTTGTGATCTAAAATAGCATAGTATAGCTATATAATGTTATAAACTCGTTCAGAAATCACTCTAGGTTTGAAACAGTTTAAATGTAGTAACGGGAATGATTGCGAAAAAATAAAAACAAAACTCATAATGGACTATGAAGCCGCTGCCACGGTGCGCGAGTGTCAGAGAGATAGACACTTTTTTTATTGCTATTGTGTGGACGACTCACAGCCCACCTGCTGTTAAGTGGTTACTGGAGCCCATAGACATCTAAATTTAATATGGTGGTTATTTATTCTTTAATTTTCTAATTTTGCACGCAATTTGCTTAATTTTTTTTTTCTTAAGAACCTTCTCCTGACTATCACAACGCAACAATAAAAAAAAAACTCAATAATTAGTTGCCGGCGTTCTGAAGTTATGCGCGTACATACATTTGATAGATTAATTTTTATATATAAGAGGGGAACAGCTTCTTTTTCTTTTTAATACGCTTTTATTAGCTTCAGACGTATGTATGTTTGTAACGGAATCTTTGAACATGCATACATATAACGTAAATGCGCCACCCACCTTGAGATATAAGTTCTAAGGTCTTAGTATAGTTACACACGTCTCCACTGCGGACTAGTCAATAGTCTAGAGGTTGATCTTAGTCACAAAAGACAGTAAAAACAATAGAAGCAAGCTGGTAAATGAATACCTGGATTTTCTGTTGACAGCAAACTGATTCTAGTTCTTTTTGTTATTCCTGTGGTGGACTCAAAGGTCAATCAATCACCATTTTCACTATATCTTTGGGACACAGTATTTTATTGTTTAAGCAAAAACTTACAGGGCATATGAGTGCGAACATAAGCAAGGGTATTGTAGACAGAGCGAGTAGCCAGTGAACGCCGAGAGTCGGCATAACGACTAATGCGAGTGCCACTTCTAAACATGCTCCTAACGCCCAGAAACACTGAAAATAAATCGTATTTTGTATTTGGTTTTCAACGAAAACATATTTAGTTTTAATATTCAACAGCATACTTACATCCAACAATACTACACATTTGGCTCTTTGTTTGGTTGGCAAAAATTCAGCATACAATGTGACACTGAAAGAATTTGAATTTATTACACTTTATGATCAACAAATTGTAATCATCGATTCGTATTTTTTTCTTGTTATTAGACAGATGGGTGAACGAGTTCAGAGCCCACCTGGTGCTAAGTGGTTATCAAAATCCATAGACTTCACAACATGAATGTTGTTACCCTCTTATTACTATTTTTATATGAATATAATTTTATTCTATAAACTCACGACTGGGGCACACATCCAATAGCAAAACCAACTAAGCCTCTTAAAAAGAGTAACCAAAGAAAATTTGGTGCTATTGAGCTAAGCAGGCCATAGTAAAACAGGAGCACGCCGCACATACTAAGAGCCTGCAAAAAAAAAACAATAATTACTACTGTCATAACAAAGTTTCAAAAATAAGTAATGTAACCTTCCAACAACAAAATCATTATATAATATTTCACACATTGAATTTTTATTTTGTTCTACCGTACAAAGTTTTTTTTACCATGTTATTATATTTACTTACAGTTTTTCTGCCATATCTATCACTAATGTTTCCCCAGAATGTTGAGCTTAGCATCATACCCATGAAAACAACTGTGGTAGTGAGAGCTTGTTGGTATCTGAAAAATAATAAATTTTTGCCTGAGTCTTTATTGAAATATATGTATATATGATATGAGAAATTATTTAAGAGTATAACATTAATTGTACATATATCCTTTGCATTCTTTATATACTGGTTGTTGAAGCATATTTAATAGGGTCAAACTTAAGTATGGCTTTCATAATTTTTTTTCTTTTTCAGACCTCACCGAACCAAATTTGTATCAAGAGGAATTATTTGGTTTAATATAATATACAATATATTTTCTTTATTTATTGATCTTTATTGTGTAATATATGCAGAAATATAATACAATATGAACTCTTAATATTTAACAGTTTTATTTATATCACAATCAGAAGGCATACAAGAAAATACACTTACTTGCTTATATTCCATTCGCAGTGTAAAGCTGGTGACAGTATACTTAGAATTGTCATCTCCATTGAGTCTGCCATCCAACAGAGGCCTGTGCATAATGATAGCTTCACTTGGAACCAACCGAAACCTAGAGCATTTACAGCTTGTGTTACTGTGAATGTGTCTGAAACAAACCAATATTATCAAAATCAAGGATTTAATCAAGATTTAAGAACTTGTTTGAGATTTAAAGGAAATATATGCTAACCACTATCACTACTCCACCAACTGGTGTGCTCATTCACCTAGTAGTATTAATAAAGGAATTCTAAAAGGCTAGAATTAAAGTATTTGTTTTATATTATTTTTCATTAACATATATTTTAAGTGCTACATAATTTAGATTAACTAATAAAATATTAATAAACTTTCAAACACCACAATTTCCATCATTAATTTATCACAAGAATGATGTCCCTGGTTTGAAGTCATTTTGAACTAATTTTTATTTATTTTTGTGACTAGATGTTTTTTGTATGTATGCAAACATGAGTACATTGCATTTTCTTTGTGATTGTCTCCTAGGTCTACCTTTTTTGTTGCTTAATTATAGACAAACACCCATGCTGACACTAGAATGCCAGGGGCACAGTGAAACCATTGCATTCTGCTCAGGATTCATTTGAAGGGCTTTACATAGCACTCAGGGAGCACTGTTAGTTAATTCCAGGAAAGTATAGAATGTGGTAAAACAAATTCTTTAAGTGCAGTGTCCATGAACATAGTTGTTTTTTAGAAGTTTTTAGGCACACAGATTGCCTAGAAACTCCTATAAAACTAGAGTGGAATCATGGGAAATACAAAACCATTATTGTTTTAAGCTTTGGTAAATTTCAACCAAGACTTCCAAGCTAATGGCATGTGCTTACCGTCAGGAACTACAGTTACTGAGGCCATTTCAATTTCTTGTGGAGGCGGCATCGGTGGCGCTAAAGACCGAACCGCAATTCCACTCTCATCTAAATCCTGATATCCTTTGGCACGACGCATTTTTATGTAGTTTTATAATCGATCAAATGAAATCAACAAATTTTTGACGTGGAATATATTATATCCAATTCCATGTAACGGGAATGTTAGCAGTTAAGATGGATAGAACTTTCACATTTCTTTAACATGGGTCGTTGAGATGCCGAGAAGTAATATTATACGAAAAATGTTTTATTTAAATTATATGTTTATTGCGTTGAATTATAATTGGCATATCCACATTCAGGAAAACACAGAATACATTATTTCAGTGCTACACAGAAACATACATTTCCCTCAAATAAAGTTTAGTGAACTATTGTTTTCTTTTTCTTATTATTGTTACTTGTCAGTTTGACTTTGAACTAGTTTGAAGATTTGATTGACAAAGTCAACGTCAATCTGTTTCAAACATAGACCTTGGTTTCCTACTTCAGTGGTTTCAAAGACATCATTAAATTACAATGAAAATTGCTTGATTTTCAGCAAAGAATACTTCACTTTTTCTTTGCGCTGTTCACTTAATAATATGCCGAGCACCTGATGAAAAAAAGGAAATATATGATAATCAATCCCTTTACTACACATTTTTATTTTTTATTGCATAAATGGGTGGACGAGCTGACAGCCCAACTGGGGTTAAGTGATTACTGGAGCTCATAGACATCTACGACGTAAATGCGCCACCCACCTTGAGATATAAGTTCTAAAGTCTCAAGTATAGTTATTAACATTGGTTTTCATTAGATTCGACCTTGTAATGACAAAGGAACGTTATTACATGTTTGTTTTTGAGTGGCTACTTGAGAGGGGCTATTCCGGCCCTACCATGATTGTGAGGCGAGCTCAGGGGCTCCGCCTGAAAAAAATCCTAGCGTATGCCCTAACAAGAGCAGTGCTTCGCTAAATCTACCATGAGATCCGAATTGGAATCCAGTGAGAAGATCCGGCGAGATAATCAGTGGGATGTGCCTAATGGATATTGGTGGTTGATTGACAGTTCTTGTACTAAGAATATATATGCAGAAATAACAGTGGTTTTTTTAAAGCGTTGCTTCGATAGTTGCAATAAAAAAACATCGAGACGTTTCATTGAAATCGAGTACTCACTAGTTACCATAGTCATCTAAACTCGATCTGATTTTCTCCTAATTTCTATAACAATAGGTCGCTTTGGTAGCCAGTACGTACATTCCCACCAACCACTTAATACGAAATATGCCGTGAGCACGCACACATTTAGTGCTTATGAAAGACGTTTAAATCTACTGAATCAATGTCAGAATTAGGGGCAGTGGCTTGACTGTGCCCCTACTACTAACATTACTATACTAACTACTAACAATTCAATAGGTCGTACGTTCGCCGGCATAAAATATTAATAAAAAAAGTTTACAAAAACTAACGACTAAGAAAGAGGGTTTCCCCTACAATTTACAAAATGAAAAATAAGCAAGTAAATCTGTTACCAGAATATATTGTCAGAGTAATCAGCAATCATCGTCGTCGTCAAAGTCGTCGTGGCCTAAAGGATAAGACGTCCGGTGCATTCGTATCTAGCGATGCACCGGTGTTCGAATCCCGCAGGCGGGTACCAATTTTTCTAATACGTAAAAAAAGTAAAAACGTACTTAACAAATGCTCCCGATTGACTTCCACGGTGAAGGAATAACATCGTGTAATAAAAATCAAACCCGCAAAATTATAATTTGCGTAATTACTGGTGGTAGGACCTCTTGTGAGTCCGCACGGGTAGGTACCACCGCCCCGTCTATTTCTGCCGTGAAGCAGTAATGCGTTTCGGTTTGAAGGGTGGGGCAGCCGTTGTAACTATACTGATACCTTAGAACTTATATCTCAATGTGTGTGGCGCATTTACGTTGTAGATGTCTATAGGTTCCAGTCACCACTTAACACCAGGTGGGCTGTGAGCTCGTCCACACATCTAAGCAATAAAAAAATAATCATAAAATGAGGATTAAATGTATAGCTTCCTTCTTTTTTCAAGTCGGACAAGAACTGCGATGTCGCCGGACGTCCGAAAGAAGTTTTTACATTAACGAGTAGATTTCGGTGAACTTTAATTGAGCATATCAGTATTAAATAAACTTAATACTTCCACTACTTATGTCCAAATTTATATTTTATTGTGTAATGGGCACCGGAAACACATACGAGACAATAGCATATGGTAGTTTGTTCTTATTCAAAATAGTACCTACAGAGGGTAACGGTATGTAGCAATATTGATGACGGTGATCATTATTCTGAGCTCAATCCTAAGCAACTAAGGGCCAAGCGATGCTATCAAAGTATCTATCAAATATATTAAACTAAATATCAAAGATGCTTAATGGCAATTCTTAATGGTTGAATTTAGTCGTTTCTATACAAGCCACAATTTTTTTCTAGACTAGACTAGCCATAAGTTCTGTTACAAAAAAAATCCTTTTTTTTAAATGAAGTAGTTTAATATATTATTAAAATTTATATCTACATATTTATTAAAGTCTCAGCAAAAAAAAAAAAATATTCTATTCGAAATGGCCACCTTTGGCTTTTATCCAGGCCTTTAATCTGTTTGGCTACGAATATATGGTTTAACGCACTGTTTCCAAGGGAAATTTCGCTTCTGCTTGCTCCAAAATTTTTTTAAGAGACTCAATGTCGCCGTGTCCTTTAGAGCAGACCATGTTCTCTATAACTGACCACAATTTGAAGTCTAAAAGGTTGAGGTCCGGGCTAGATGAGGACCAGTCTTCAGCTCTTATAAAGTCCGGAATGTTGGTTTCAAGCCAGGCTTGGGTAGTTCGTGCCTTGTGAACAGGTGCAAAGTCCTGCTGGAACGTCCACGGTATATTTTTGCTAAGTGTATTGTTGATAGGTTTCACAACATGACCCAAGACTGTATCTTGATACACTTTTGCTGAAGTTTTCACTCCTTTTTCACAAAAATGTAGTTTTGTGACTACCTGATAAGTCACGCCCCACTAAACTATAACTGACGCAGGATGATGACCACGTTGTACCTTTCCAACCACTTGAGCAGCTTCTTTAGAACTGTGAGTGTACACTTTATGATTTTGCTTATTGTAGTGTTTGTCAATCGTAAAATTTTGTTCATCGGTAAAGACGATATTTCTGTGCCTTTCACCTGCGTATCGCGACAGAAGGCGTTTTGGTCGATCCACTTGCTTTAATTGTAAAGATTGATTTAGGGCATGTCCTTATATCTACGATAAGCACCGAACTTCAGGTCTTGTTTTATAATACGCGACAGGGTCCTAGCGGGAGTCTTTCGTAAGATTTTTTGCTTCCTAATGGGGTTTCGACGAATTCTGGCTTTAACAGCATTAACAGGGTTTGTAGTTCTAACAGCACGTGGCCGCTCCGATGCTCTCTGGTCGTCGACAGACGAAGTGTTGTTGTATTTGTTGATAGTACAATATAGACGAACATACGGCTGATACCAAGCTTTTGAAGTGTCTGGAATATGACCGACGGCTCCATACCCACTTTATGCAAGGCGATCAATGCAATCCTATTTTCTTTAACACCCCATTACATATTGTAATTTGATAACGAACACGAAAAAATATGTGAAATGGCGCAAAATCGAAAGAAGTTTTTAAAATAATACGCATGATCCAAATTCAAAATAATTAAAAAGTAAAAAAAAAATAAAGTTTATAAGTACCTATGTAATAGTACATATTTATGGTCAGAATAGTTATAAATTCCTACTTCTGTCACGAGAACACAGTTGCAACATCTTTTCGTAGCACAGTTGACGCATTTTTTCATAAAATAGGTCACCAATAAAATTCATTTTCATAGCAACTAAATAAAAACATTTATGCTCTTGTTATTCCGATGTAATTTTATTTTAATTAAAGTACATTGATACAATTTTATCGTAATTCACTAACGGTAAGATTCGGACAATCATCTATGAGTACATCCCAGTAACGAGTAGGCAAAAATTTTAAAAAATACCTATCTATTAAAAATACACGAGTTTCTCCTAAAACTACAATAAACACACACAACGTTTCGCAGGTACGTCTTCGTGCACATATTTATTGTTGAAATGTTTTCTGAGCAATATTTGCACATCAGCCAGGAGTCATAACCGATCCTTCTACGAAGAATAATTTAATTCTACGTCACTGTCTACCTGTATTCATTAACGGGTGAGTATAATCTTAGGGAATCACAACATTAACCTTTGCTTATTAACTACTACTGTAATTTGCTTTTAACATCCATAGAACAGTTTTTACAGTAAACAAAGTAATTCAACCACGGAGTATGCTAATGGTTAAGACAATGTATTATTGGAATAATATTTTATATAATATGGATTATTGGAAGTCGAAATATGATAACAAATTTGAATGAATAATGTAATTATAACATTGTGATCTTAGGTTGTAGCTAAGTCAATATAGATATGTAATTTCCAATAGTTAGTCCTACAATAAGTATATGGGAGTTGTAGTACATTAAAGTTTGATCATAAAGTAAAAATGTATTATTACGGGGTTTCATAAAGGAAATGAAAAGGACGCAATCTCTATAATTAAGTTACTAGCCTCTTAGGCCTTGTACGTATTTAAATACATGTTAGATAAGAAGCTGTAAAGCTGAAAGTATCACTTAATCCTCTCTTTGGCGAGAGATTCGTTTATATCTTACAGATAAATTCATAAAATTTCGTCAATAATATTTGTTTTGCTTTGCAAATTGTTTGTATTGTATGTATTGTCAGCATAGACTACATATTTTTCATCACAAAAAAAATAATTCAAAAAATGTAATTCCGTAAACAGTATATCGCTGTTTTGACAATAGATTTTGTAAAATATCAAGATAAGTTTAACAGAGATTGTAAAGCCTATGAAAATGTAAATTAGTTGTCTACTGTTAAGACGACATTAAACTGTACGATACATTGATTTCTATCTAAATAATAGTAGTATATCTTATATTAAATTATATTTACAAAGCACGCACGGTGCAGTTTTGTAGCTGCCAGTTAAGGGAACAACCGTTTAAGTAAATAATAAATAAATATTATATTATCTAGTAAGAACTACTTTACCACAGTCAATGAATCGTTAAAATGGGGATTATAATCACATATTCTACGATTATTTCCAATTCATTTCAAAATTAGCTTCGCCTTTAGCAAGTCTATTAATAATAGTTACATAATTATAAATCGATCGAACCTTTAGGCAAAACTTGTCAAAGATTTAGCATTTATTTTCAATTTATAAATAACTACGTAAAACCGCAAATGAGATTGATGATACATAGATTGTAAACTATATAGAATACAATGATGTGTAGTTCAGTTTCTCCGTTTTCGCTGCTGGCGGTTTTTTGAAGGTCTCTACATAATATTCAGTCTCATAATTATTGGCGATAAGTAAATTTTCCGACTTATGTTGCGATGCGATGTTTTAATCCCCGTAGTTCTACCACCAGATCGGAATCGTCGGCCACGAAACGTTTTTCAATCCTTCTTTCCTTCAGGGACTCCTGAGAACAAAACAAAACATTTAATTCGAATACCGGTTTAAAAATAAAACACTTAAGTCAGTGATCGAACAGGAAATAACTACATATACAGATTTAGTGGTCTTTGGTACCCCCTCCTCGTTTGACCCGGCCTTTAAGCCGACCGTGTCACCCGCCACCCTCAGCCCGGCTGTGTTATTTTTAGATATCGGGACTCGCCCACACTCAAGTGAGTTTTGAATAAACCATTATGAAACACTTTGAAGTTTCGATGCTCCCAAGAAATAGGTTCAACAATAAAATTGAAATGAAAATTATAAAAAAAATAGTGCAAAAAAAACAAAATAAGAAATTCTTACCTTCGTATTGGTATTTAATGATTTGTTCGCCAATAATTCCGCAATAGTCTCATAGAAGTTATTCCTTTTGATTTGTTTATTCTGGTGCGCTTGATGATTTTGAGGTGGTCGCGGAACCATTACTTCCTTGTCACCGACCTTTGGTTCCGTCGTTGTGGAAACTGGAGCTGCAGTAGTGACACTTCTCTTGTTTCCGTTCCAGTTAATAAACGAATCGTCTGCGGTATAATCATCGTCCTCGAATCTGGAACCAGTTTTCGGTTCATGATACAGTGGTTTACCGGCAAGCGCTTTCAGTTCTCTTACTTCTTCATCTTCGAGGTCTTTATCTTCGTAATCGACAGGCAGGAAAGCGGCGCGGGCGTTCTCTCGTCGCCTCTGTGCGTCTTGAGCCATCTGCGTGAGTATCAAATTGTCAAGGAAAGCTGCACTGACATCATCAACTTCACTTGACTGCCAGCGGGGTGTAGCATCGCTTTCGAACCAAGTTTCTTGACCAATAGGTAAGGCAGCCAGACGCTCTTCATGCCTTTGAGGTGCTTCGTTTTGTAAATATTGAGCACTTGGGTCGTAATAATAGGGGTATTGGACTTGGTCGTGCATCTCAGGAACATTCACAGCGGGGGCATCGTAGTAATATTGTATCTTAGGAGCGTAGTAATATTCATCATCGGGGTACTCCCGAGGTACTTGTCCCCACATAGGCCATCCTTGCATTGGGTATGTCTTAACTTGTACTATCAAGTAGCTAATTAATAACGTTAGCAATCTAAAAATAAATAAAATTAAGTATTAGACATATCTTCTCATTTAAGTTAAAATATCGTTCATAATTTAATTCCGCTAATAAAATGTGTATTCTAAGAAATTATTGTAAAATAAATAAAAATAGATTTATATAGATTTCGATCAAAAATAAATCATTTAACTCATGATATTTGAAAACATATTTATTTAATGTTAATTTATTTACCTTAAGTTAGTAAGAAGCATGTTGCTCGAGTATTTTTCAGAGTTCGATGTTAGTTTAGGCGCGATCGGAACACGACTACACGCTGGAGGGAGGGCCCCGTTGCTTTATAACCAGGTCGCCCACGCGGCCGCCTACACATTCTCAATGAAACATCACCCCCCAGGATACACCCGACGCCGTCATACCCCTGACGCTCTGCAGGGGGGAGTATATCTCCCTCACTTGCGCCGTTCTGTTTATCGATCGCGACCAGAGATTCATCATCTTACTAAACAGTAGTAGATAGGCACTATTCTATTTTAGTTATCGTTAACTATCAAAAGTGGAAATATGTAGTTGCATAGGAGTTTTTAATTTTCAAAAGATATTTGCAGCAGATGACAGCTGCTTGTAAGTGAAGAAAAATGAAATTTGTGGTACTAACATAGATATTTAATTTAAATAATTCATATAGCAGCTGTTGACATCACGAAAAAAATTTCACATTCTTATGATACCACCGCGTTAATTTAAATTGTTTATATTGTTTTTTTAAAGATACGTTCAAAACGTTTTATGATTTATTTTTACTTACTTTTTATTGTTTAGAATTCGGTATCGACAAACATCTGGAAGAATAAATATCGGATACTCGTCCTGTCTAAAATTCAATAAATTTGTTTGTGATCGTTCTGTGCATTTTCCATTTTCCGGGTAACTTTCCATTTTCCTTTCCCTAAAACCATTGATTTAGACTATTAGAAAAATTTATAAAAATGAACATTCGGTCCCAACGTGCTTTATAATGCGAATTCGAACTAACAACTTTTAATCCTTTGTTCGTAGATAAAAGCTTATTTCCGTTTTGTATACTGACAATCGTTAAGGTAATTCTACGAACTCGTATTTCGTTGTTTTCATTTATTTAGATGTCCAATTTTATACTGAATAAAATGAAATAGTTTTTTTTTTATTTAGCACCCCTGACCATTATACCGAGCGTTGTGGGTTCTATTCCCACATTGGACAAACAAAAAGGTTTCTATTTTTTTTTATTTTTTTTTATTTGTTTATATTTAAACGTATTTAGTATGTTCATATACCTCTGCCTTTGGTTTAGGTAGTACAGGGAATCATGGTTTGGGGCCAGATGACTGTGTGATTATTTATTGTTATTATTTAAGTTAATAATGAGGTTGATGAAATGGCAATGTATTGCCATTGAAGGTAGACCACTCATATCATGTTGGATATTGGCACCGTGGATATTTGCAATGCCACAAACGCTGCTACTGCCTTGGGCTTTTCAAACCTCAATAAAATATCATATGTCCACATGAAAAAATATTTTATTTTAAAAAAAGCGTGGGGTGCTTTTCAGAATATTATCAAAATAACCCTTCTACTCATATCTGTTCGTAAAATATTTATAACTACTGATACCATGCACCCCACGCTTTTTTAACATTAAAATCATTTTTCTTACACTATTTTTAATTCAAATTTATTAAAATTTATTTTTTAGTTGGATTTTCTGTAAAGCGTATTTTTTTAGTTTTTTTATACTATTATATATGTCAGAGGAAGCAATGAGTCGAGTTGATTCTTGTTTACATGCTTAATGTTTATTATTATTAGTTTTACGTTGTAATTACTTTTATAATTCCTAATTCTATTTTATCTTGTTTGTTACGTTTTTCTATAACTTTAAAACCTTTCATAAAAATAAACTGTAATAAAAGGTCCCATAATTGTAAATCACGTAGGCAGCGACCAATCAGAGCAGAGCGTCTTGTCTCGAGCGTGGTCGAGGCGCCATCTTCACTTTGGAGAAAGCTTGTATTGTGGTGTGACGCATTTTTGTGAGCATAAAAAACGTATCGAGTTGGATCGTTGGATAATTTGGATATAGTTAAAGTGAGATTGGTGCACCGAACTCGCTGCTCGGTCTAAACTGTTGTATTCCTACAATATTACCGTGGAATAACTAAATATTGTATAAACTGAATTAAACTACTGATAAAACGGCATCCATTGTGTTTTGTGCTCGCACTTTAACCCTATGACGCCCACTAAGCCCGCAGCCACTAATGGCGATGTCAACGAGGAGAGCCTTTCCCCGACATATATTTTTAGATTTACTTTGTAATTTTTCACGTAGATCACCTTAGTTGCTCATTTTGTGATTTAACGGCGTCATAATAAGTAACTCACCAAATTTTAGATTTACGCAGGCTTACTAGGGGGTTTCACTCGCAAGACGATCGTTTGGAGGCTGTGTCTAGCGTTGAATCTAGGAAGAGGAAATTTTCGTTGCAGTTCAAAGTGCATAGTCAGGTTTGAAATCGGAAATCGTCACAAATAAGGGGTCGTTGCCCGGCTGGCGCCTTGACGTCGCATTGCCAATACCCCTTAAACAATTGTTACGTAAAGTTTTTAAACCCCACGCGGTAAGTCCTTTCCATATATATCTATAGTAAAGGGTAATTTAGAAACCTAATTTTCCAACTATGTCTAGACTTAAGATCCATTGAATATTGGTAGATGTTTTATAGTTAATTGAAATCGTTTTGGGAATTGATTGCTTATCCATTACATAGTACAGCACAGTAGCAACTATGTAATGTAGTACTTAAGTAATACCTAACATGATAAAATTGAGAACATCGCTATTAAAATTTAATTTGTAAAGATTAATCGATTATTCATTGCGCGTAATGTATTCACTAACACAATAAAAAAACTGCTGACACTAGTCAACGGCTTAGTGTAACACGAGAATCACCTGTCAGAGCTATATTTTGCTATGTATTGTGGATTCATAACAGCTTCTTAAGAGGACATTTCTACGGCTTTTTTCCTACCTAATCTCGGGTAGCCTAAGGGGATATTCCAGCTACGAACCAGATGGTGGGTTCACGGGTTCAACCTTAGAGAATTTGTTAAGACTGGCTCTAGCAAGAGCGATGCCTAGCTGAATCTATCTGAGATTATGCATGGACATTTACGTTTAGTTTTCTCAATGGAATTTTATGGGTTTGTGCGAGGCATTCTTCTACTTTGTATAAAATTTAGTAATTTTTATGCATGAACCATTGGTGAGATAATGATGAATCTATGATTTAAATTGACCATTTCAATTTTGTAATTGGTCCTAATGCTAAAATATGTTTTACATGTATAGGACTATAGGATTTCCTTGACGAAACTAATGTATTTAATTCATTGATATAATATTATTTGGAAAACGAAGCCTCAAAAAGAGACGAGTAAGCGGTCTCCGTGCCAGTAGGCTCCATCAGATCTAGAATTAGTTATGCGTTCCGGTTTGTATGATTTGATTTTTTATTGCTTAAATGTATGGACGAGCTCACTGCCCACCTCATGTTAAGTGATTACCGGAGGCCATAGACATTTACAACGTAAATGCCGCCACCCACCTTGAGATATGAGTTCTAAGGTCTCAGTATAGTACAACGGCTGCCCCACCCTTCAAACCGTAACGCATTACTGCTTCACGGCAGAAATAGGCAGGGTAGTGGTACCTACCCGTGCGGACTCACAAAACGTTCTACCACCCGTAATTACATGGGACGGCGGGATAGATGTAATATGCTCTGCGTAAACCCTCTCCCGCGGTCTCAATAGCTCCGACTGGGTTCCCGCCCGATCCAGGGTAGGGCGCCGGCCGTGAGCGGTAGGAGTTTTTAGTGAGGTTCAACTTCCACATACGATTTTTTCGCGATTTTCTCCTGTTAAAAAAAACCAGTCAATACAAAAATTTTAATTTTTCGAATCACACCCGTTATTCTAAGTAGTAGCTGATGATAACCCCGTATTTTTGCCCGTAATGCGTTCAGGTTTGAAAGATAAGGCAGCTGCTGTATTCTATTGAACTGAGACCTGGTGCTCTTGCCTCAAGGTGGGTGCCTGTATTTACGTTTTTGATGCTTATAAGCTCCGGCAACCACTTAGCACCGGCTGAGCCCTAAGTTCGAGTACCTATTTATGGTATGAAACATTCAAATCGTACAAAAACAGTTTACGCAAAGCGTGGATTCGACATGACGCTTCCAATGTCTAGCATTTTTTTTTAATTTTTTTTTATTGATTAGATGGATGGATGAGCTCACAGCCCACCTGGTGTTAAGTGGTTACTGGAGCCCATAGACATCTACAACGTAAATGCGCCACCCACCTCGAGATATCAGTTCTAAGATCTCAGTATAGTTACAACGGCTACCCCACCCTTCGAACCGAAACGCATTACTGCTTCACGGCGGAAATAGGCGGGGTGGTGGTACCTACCCGTGCGGACTCCCAAGAGATCCTACCACCAGTGAACATGTGTGAAGAACACAATTTATGTATAAAGCCTATAGTTTTTCAGAATTATTAGTTTTTGTGTGGGCGTCACTGGAAACGTCAAACGTGGGCTTAATATAACGAAGCTTCATGTACATGTACTCATGTTGAAGCCAGTTAAGAACACTCGAATTGGGTTAATAGCGTTGTGTTTTATGATCGTTATTTTATGATTCGATATCGTTATCTGTACAGATAGATATACTTGACGCCGANGATGCCTATGGTTTTTCAGAATTATTAGTTTTTGTGTGGGCGTCACTGGAAACGTCAAACGTGGGCTTAATATAACGAAGCTTCATGTACATGTACTCATGTTGAAGCCAGTTAAGAACACTCGAATTGGGTTAATAGCGTTGTGTTTTATGATCGTTATTTTATGATTCGATATCGTTATCTGTACAGATAGATATACTTGACGCCGATAAGGGTCTCGTTGCCTAAAATTTTTGTACAATATTTTTTTTTTCTAAAACCCTTTGCCAACCAGACTATTATATTTAGGCGGTTGCTGATCTTAGAAAATATAGTTATATCATATATTACAAATATTATAGACTTTCTACGTACGGTTTACATTCATACTGGAAGTTACAAATCCTTCTTAGGTTTTAGATAACGTAAAATAATATATTGACGTCGTAGTATTTATGACAACCAATGAATTTAGAGTTGGATCTCGTTTTCTAGAGCGGAATTCACGTTGAGATATTTATCGGCTAATTTTATTAACTTAAAATATAAACGTTTTTTTTTCTGTCTATGATGATAGCCTTGAGGGATTATTTCAGCTATTCCTTGACGTGTAGACGAGCTCACGGAGCTCAAACCAGGAGTGTTGCTAATACTGGCTTTAGCAAGAGCAGTGTTTCCGGCGAGAAACTCAGTGGGCTGTGTCTATGGGTTCATTCACTCGTCGAGCCCTTCGTCGCAAGCGACGGTTCGACGAGGACGGTAACCTGTGCTTGTGGTAGGTACCTAAAAGCACCGTTAATGGATCGGGAGGATCCGTAATGACGTGCTTAGGGCGACGTCGACTGCTTACCATTCGGTCCACAGGATTCGGTATGATAAGTAGATGCTAACCGCACTGGAATAGTGGTTGCCATAAGTAAAAAACAAATTATACTTTGTCATCGAA